GTGAAGGTTTCACGCTTAATAGAATCAGATGAGCAGGGGTCCGGGCAGCTGCCCAAGACCCCCGCCCCCCACCCTGGCCCCCACCACATTAGCAGGCTGGGTGCGTCTGGCCGCTTCTTTGCCTCTGAGCTCGGAGGTCGCGGGGCTTGCTCCTCCGGCTGGTCCTGCTGAGTCAACAGCAACCACACACAGAGGCTGCTCACCGCCCTCAGGGCGCCCCCTGCCCCTTCAGGACGGAGGGAGCTACTGAGGGCCCCGCTGTGGCTGGACCCAGTGGGGGGCACTGTGATCGGGCAGCTCAGCGATCAGGTCTGGAAGTGGGGGCTCACGTGGGAGCCGCGGTGGGTGGGGGCGCCGCCCCCAGGCTCAGCCTGGAGACCCGAGGTCAGCACCAGCTGGTCCGTATTCAGCTGTGATCGCAACCTCTCTCAGCTCCGTGGCCGAGGCCTGGTCCGCCAGTGGTGACACTGTCTGTGTCGGACGGACGCGGGAGGGGAGAGGAGGGGAGGGGAGGGGAGGGGAGGAGGGCCCACCCTGCAGCGTGTGCCCGGCCGGGGCCAGGGGTCGGGGCCACTCTGCCCTCTCTCCGCTTGGTGGGGTCCTTCTCCAAGGGGTTCTGACCCTGACTCCCCACCAGAGTGGGTGTTGGTCTTGACAGCAGCCTCCGTGCCTTCCGGGGGACGTGTCACCACGTCCTGGGGTGTCTTTTGCGGGGGTCCCGGGGCCTCGCAGCTGAGGAAGGAGGTGACCGTCCCTTCTCGGGGATCCCACCTGGGTAGGGGCTTCTCTTCCAGCCTCCGAGTCGCTTGCTGGCCCTGCGGCTGCACCCCCCACCACCCCTCACCCCCTGGTCAGGAAGGAGGCCTCCAAGTCCTTGGAAGTGAAACTCTGCTGTTGACGAAGCAAAACTGGCTGGGTTTCCACGGGGACCAGCCGTCTGTCTTACCGACAGAGCCAGAGGGACGAGCATGGCAGATCCTCGAGGAAGTATTTTTCCTCCTCTGATTCTGATTTGTCGATGACACTGCATGTTTCCATCTGTCCCTCTGAGGTTCGTGAATACCTGGTGACTCTGGACACCAGACTTGGTGTCTTGGGTGAAAGTCAACTCGAGTCCACCTGGAATTTGGGGCTTCGCTGGAGTGTTGGAGCAGCGCCTCTTATTTGGGCTAAAATTAACTTTCTCCGCCAGCACCTCCATCTCCCCGTCTGTGAACAGCGGACATGCAGACCTGCGCGGCCACAGGAGCTCGGGTGTGGCCACAGCACCTGGGCTTCGTAGCCGCCATGTGGCGCGTTTCTGTCCTTGTGGTCCGAGCAGGAGGCCACCCCTGGCTGCGCCCCGGGCCGTCCCGGGGGCCGTGGCCCCAGCATGACCCCCCCCGCCGCACCCCTTCCTGGCCCTCCGTTCAGGAAGGGGCTCCGGATGGATCGACACGGGAGCAGCACACTCTTGTCACCCCTGACAGAGCCCCGCATGCCCAGAGCGGGGGATCACGATCGGCCAGCCGGGCGGGGAGGGTTCTCACTCCCCCAGGCCTGGCAGGTACACACGGAGAAGACCTGCTCGTGCGCCCTGGGTGCCAGTCCTCGAGTCCTCTCTGTCTCTCCTTGCACAGCGCACATCACACACAGGCACGGGCCACACACAGACGCAGATACAGGCACAGACACACGTATGCATAGACACAGGCGCAAAGAAGGGCAAACACAAACACACACGTAAATATATACATACAGACACACATATAGGCACAGACATTCACAGGCATAGGCACACACACACACACACACACTCACACACACCCATGCATCCTCACACACACACACTCACACACACCCATGCATCCTCACACACACACACTCACACAAACACACACACAGACCCATGCATCTTCACACACACACACACTCACACACACCCATGCATCCTCACACACACACACTCACACACACAGTCTCCCCCCCCACACACACTCACACAGTCACACACACACTCACTCACACACACACACTCACACTCACACACAGTCACAGACACATACACAGTCACACACACACTCTCTCACACACACACACACTCTCACACACATGCACACACACTCCTCTCGGCCTCCCCCGCCCTGCACGGCCCCGGCTCTGGCCTGCTTCCCATGCATCCTCCCCTTGCTCGTCCTGCAGACCTGGCTCCCACAGGGCCCCCGGCCCTCCCCTACCGGTTGGGTCCTGCAATCAGCAGCAGCATCCCCACAGGCCTGGGGTCTCCTTTGGGCCCCAGGGGCATGTCCTGTTCACTCAGGGCTCCAGCCTGGGGTTCGGCCCGGTCCCAGGGGGCACGAGATCTGGCTGGAAGGCTTTGAGGATGTTGACGATACTGAACTCCACGTACTGTGGTCCAGAGAAGGAAGGGGGTGTGTCTGTGAGTCTGTGTGAAAGCTATGAGTGTGTGTTGTGTGTCTCTCTGTGTGCAAGTATATAAATGTGTGTCTGTGTGTGTGTGTGAGTGTGCGTGTGCACGGAGGTGGGGACGTGACCACATCAGGGCTTCCTCTATCCACTCATGGCTCCTCGGTCTCCTCAAAGACAAGTGGGAGGCATTTCAGGGACAAGGGGCTTCCGTTCAGCCGGGGTGCACCTCCAGGCCCTGCACCTCACTGGGCAAGCGGAGTGGGCTCCAGGGCCCCTCGGCTGGCCACTGGCGAGAAGTGAGGAGACCCGTGTGAGGACGTGGTGGCATCACTGCTCTGCAGGAGTCATGTCTGGGTACAGTGACCGAGACGGCCAACGTCATGGCACCCTCCCCACAAAGTGCAGGGGTCCCTGGCCAGCCCCAGCCTCTGTGACACCACAGTTCTGGGGCCCTGGGTGTGTGTTTAGGGAAACGTTGACAAATAGCTTCGTAAGGCAAACGCCGATCGTACTCATTTAATCTTTGTTAAAAGCATCACAAATGATTTATTGATTTTTAAAAAGGAAAAATAAGAAAGAATTTATCGCATCTCTGTTATGTGCATATAGAAGTGTGGGCTCGATCCAGCTGAATGAGACGTTAGCGGTCCAAGCCCAGCCCGCTCTTCCCGGGGGCCCACACGTACCTGAACGTCAAAGATGCAGGACCTCAAAACGTGCAACCAGATAAACCCAGACCTACGTGTCGATCTACACGGTTATGGGGATGGAACGTATTCGGTTATAGATGCCAACTTATTCCCAGGCTCTTGGGTCCGCACACCCAAAACGCTCTTCATAGAAATGATGACAGAAAATACGAGAACACAAATAGCTGAAGGGAAACCCTATCCCATCAGCGAGGGAATGCAGCTGAGGGTCAGGAGGTCGTGGCGGGTTGCCACCCACCGGCACTGCTGAGCTGCGCCCGGGGCACGCCCTGCTGACCTTGACCTGGGACGGGGCCAGCGCTGACAGGTGTCTGACCCGGGAACGAGGCTCACAGGCCGGGCGGGGGTGGACGGCAGGACGCGGGGCCCCCTAAGGGGTCTTGGAGAGGGCAGACAGGCTGGCGGCGGCAGATGCCCCGAGAACCCAGCCTCTCTCCACGGTGCCTCGCAACTCAGGGGCTTCCCCGAGGAGGGCCTGGAGGACGCTCTGCGGGGCCGCAGGGAGGGGATGGGGGACGCCCCTGCCACCCGCACCGTGACCTGCAGTGACCCCTTCTGAGCCGGTCTCAGACCCCATTTGTCACACGTGGGGCTGGACGCCAGGGTCCCCCCTCCCACCTGCGGGAGCTGCTCTGGGGGTGCGGATGACCCCTCGCAGGCTGAGTTTCTTTTCTGCGGAAGTGAGCTAAGGCTTCCCACTGCCCCGGGCTTCATCCTGGACTCCTCGCAGCCGGTGGGTCCTAGCCTGGGCTCTAGGGTGTCCCCACCTCTGGGGGGAGGCTCTGGCCACCCAAGAGCCCAGGGAGGGGGCGGGGCGGGGCCGCCGATTTCCAGTTTCAAGGCAAAAGGTGAAACCCCGCCCCCAGATTCTCCCCGCGTCCCTGATTCTAGGCATCCGTGAGGGAGGGGGTCGAACTGTGTGGGAAGCAGGGGCTGGCTCCTGGGGCACCTCCGCCGCCCCGTGCTGTGTGTGACCCAGGGGCAGCCGCTCCCTCTCTGGGCCTCAGCGGCTCTGTCTTCAAGACAAGGCGGGCACTCCCTATCTGCCCTGCAGGCTCTGCCTTTCTAACCTCTCCTGGTTCCTGGGTTTCTGCGCGGCTCCCTCAAGCATAGAGGGCGCGCAAAACACTGGGCCTCTGTCTCGAGGCCGCTCCCGGGGCGGTAAGCCGCCCATGGAGGGCGGAGCTGGGGGGAGCTTTGCTTTTGGTGGGGGTCCCCAGGAAAGAAGGCTGCCGGGGGGGGGGGGGAGGTGCATTTCTGGGCGTTCGGCAAACGGGGTTCCCAAGAATGGGGGCTACTGCCTGGCAATAAAAAGAGAACCACCTCTCCCCCCAGAAACCGCAAATGGCTACCTAGAGAGGTATTTACATCTTCTCTGCAGGTTAAAAAGAGGAAGGGGAGCCCGGAGGGAGGCCTGGAGGGTGGCGTGGGGGGGCCGCAGACGGCTTTCCGGATTCTGGAGGGTGTGCACGACCCCCCGCAGAGGGACGGCCGTGTGAGCGGTGGGAGCTGCCTTCCTGGGGGTTCCGAGGAAGAAAGCAGGGCTCCGCGTTCCTCCGGGGGACAAGAGCCCACGGTGCAGGTGATGGGAGGAGGGAGGTGGGGGGATCTGCGCTTCTGAGAGTCCGGCAGGCTCACCCCCCTAGTCTCAGGGGGCCCGGCCTCGCCTTTGAGAAGTCAGGCCTCCTCGCCGGAGTGACGGGGTGTGGGCTGCGAGTTGGAGGCCGGGGCGGGGCGGGCTCGAGCTGGACGGGGCGGGGGCAGCTGTCGGCTGGCGTGGACGCGGCGGGAGGAGGAGGAGGCTTTCCCGAGGTCTCCGCGGGGGTGCGGGTCCCACCCCGAGCCGGGGGGCGGCGGTGTGGTCCTGGGCCCTCCGCGGGGGTATGACGCGGCGGAGAGGAGAGCGTTCTGGGCGCGGCCTCCTCCGCGGCCTCAGCTCACCAGGTAGCTGTGCATCTCCCGGGAGCTGACGCTCAGGACCACGCCCGAGTGATTCCCTGGAGGAGAGACCCGGTGTGAGCGCGCGGCCGGCCCAGCGGCGCGCGGGATTGGTGCGTGCGGCCTCCGCCGACGTGCGAGGCATCCCGAGCTTCCTCCCGCCATCGTCGTGCGGGTCGTGCCTGGACGCGGGTGCAGAGGCGGTGGGGTGGGCGGGTGACTAGGGCGCGTTTCCCGGTGCCGGCACAAGCAGTGGACCCAGGGGGCCTCGGGGTGAGGCCGCGCCCGCCACCCGCCCCCACCGCACCCACTGACCTGCAGGGGGGCCGGCCCCGGCATCGGCAGCAGGGGCAGGTAGGCGGGGCTCTGTACCCCCCGGGCAGGGGGCACTGCAGGGCGGCCCGGCGAGGCCCCGGGCGGCGGCGGGAGAGAGAAGGGCACAGGGACCGTCAGAAATGCAGGGGTCCGCCAGGGTCCCAGGTGGGGCCGCGTTCTGAGACCCCTGGGGAGCAGAGGCGTGGCCGCTGGCTGCCTGGAGCCTCCACCCCCCGGGCGCATCGAGAAGGAGCGGCGGAGAGGTTCCAGCCGGCCGTGGGGACCACGGGGTCGTGAGCTGGCCCGGGGCTTTGGGTCCAAGGTCAGCCACCTGTCCACTGGGCCGCCTGGGTGGGCGACGTCACCTCTTTGAACCTCACTTCTAGCCGTTTAAAAGGTGGGGACCGCGACTCCGCCTCCCACAGTCCCAGGGACACGGCAGATACGGGTTGAGGGGATAAAAGGGCAGAGATGACACTGCCCCCCCCCAACCAGGTGGCAGCTTGCCGGCGTTTCCTCGGGCCCCACTGGGGACGTCACAACACCCCAGGGCCGGGGGTGCAGGGCAGGTGGGGTGCAGAGCGACTGTTAAAAGTCGTGGGAGCAGGGGCCCCAGGGTCTGGACTCCAGCCCCTTCCCCACCAGCTGTGTGGCCCTGGCCCCGGGTCAGTCCTGGTCTCAGCTCTGAAAAGGAGCGCCCCTGCTGGGCTGTGGAGGAAGCCATGCCTGCTGGAGCACTCAGTGCTCATGTGGCCTGGAGCACTCAGCGCTCCTGTAGCCAGGAGCACTCAGCATTCGTGTGGCCTGGAGCACTCAGCGCTCACGCGGCCTGGAGCATTCAGCGCTCACGCTGCCTGGAGCACTCAGCGCTCACGTGGCCTGGAGCACTCTGTGCTCACGGCCGGGTGGGCAGCTCCAGTGCTCCGGCGGAACTCAGGGCTTCCGGGCCTCAGTCTCCCCATGGGTTGAGGAGGGAGTGGAGACGGGGCCTGCTGTCCCATCAGAGTGTGTGTACCCCCAAAGATGGACAGATCGTGGTCACCTCAACCACAGAGTCAGAACCAAGGGCCAGCAGTGATGGCCAGGAGAGGTGGAGCAGCTGCCAGGCTGTCCCCTCCCTGGTCTCTGCTGCGCAGAGGCCGTGGGGGGCTCAGGGTGGACACTGCAGTGGGCTGAGCCGGCTGTGGCGTTATCACCAGCAGAAGCTTTGAGGTGGTGGGGCTCAGCCGGCGAACACCCGCTCATGAGAGGCCCCGAGAGAGAACTGGAGGTCAACACAGACCCCCACCCCCAGAAGAGGCCGCTGAGTGGGCGGCCGCTCCATCTTCCCTGCTGGCCATGGGTGAGGGGCAATGGGGTCATGGAACAGAGATGCTGTGCAAACTGTAAAGGGTTGTGCACACGTTACGTCCATGTGCGCACGGCCCAGCGCCTCGTCCTCCCAGTGACAGGAGGGATGCCGGGAGCGCGGAAGGGGTGACTGCTGAGAGGCCCCTGGGACCCCCCAGAACACAGCAGCTCCGCTGTGGAAGCCAGCTGTCTGCCCCACCCCTCGGCGGACTGTGGGGACGGGCGTCCAGGGTCCCGGTCCACAGGCAGCCCCGGGGGACTCCTGCCATCAACCGTCAGAAGGAGGGGACCCAGGGTAGGGCCCGCCCGGCCCGGGCCTGGTGGTGGAGGAGGGGTTCCCGCGGCAGGGGGTGTTGGGGGCGGGCGTTACCTAGAGTCTGCGGGTGGAGCTCGTCCTCCATGAGCTCCTCGCCCTGGATGGCGCTCTGCACGCCCTGGCTGTGGCTCACGGGGCTCGTCATTTCCTGCTCCTTCTCGTTGTGCATCTGGGCATACACGGTCCTGCCGGGGCGTTTCCTGCAAGGCAGCAGGCGGTGGGGGGGAGATCAGGGCTCTGCCTGGGATGCCTGTCTCTGGAGGCCCCCAGCCCACCCCTCTGTGCAGTGCTCTCATTGCTCCTGGGTCTGCCTCCTGCGCCACCTCTGCACCAAGACACCTCCTCCAGGAAGCCCTCCTGTGCCACCTCTGTGCCAAGCCACCTCCTCCAGGAAGCCCTCCTGCACCACCTCTGGGCCAAGCCACCTCCTCCAGGAAGCCTTCCATCCTGTGAGCTCCCCCAGCCCTGGGTTTGCCTCTGCCCTGGCAAGCACTGTCCGTCTGTCTTCCCCGAGGCGTGCTGCAGGGAGAGCGTGCTTCTTTGTCTCTTTCAGGTCCCTGTCACCCATCACCTCCGGGTTCTGATCATGTCAGCAGGTGTGTGTTTCCACAAGGCATGCGATGCTGACAGGCTCTGAGAGGTGTTTGCTGAGCCCTGCCCAGGTCCTGGGGCATCCTCTAGTGCCCGTCCCCTCCAGGGCAGAGGGAAAGGAGATGGAGGGCACAGCCCCCCTCTGTCTCAGCTGGGACCGGGCTCAGGGCTCTGGGCCATGCTCCTTCATGTGCGACGCCCACTTGGTTGGAGCAAAACTCCAGAGGGCACATGGTTTCACTTTACAGATGAGGAAACTGAGGCTAAGTGGGAGGGTGGGCTTCCTCGGAGCCACCATCAGCAGTTTGCCGACACGGGCAGTTCTCTGGAAATACTGAGATGGCGGGATGCACATTCAGGCCCCCGGGGTGGGCTGGGTCATGACGGGCCCCAGGGGACTAGAGCACTCAGTGGCTGAGAGCCTCTGAGACTTAGGAGTTGCTTGTTACGCAGGCAGGCCCAGCCCAGGCTGACGGCTGCACCAGCCGGGAAACCCCAGCTCTCCACAAAGCTAAAGCCTCCGGACAAACGGGGCATTTCTCTCCATATTCTCTGATGGCCAGTCTTCTAGCTGGGCACACTCACTCCCAGAACTGTGCTCTGCCCACGGTTTCCATGGTAACCGCCCTCCCAAAATTAATTCACTAGGTGAGCCCAGCGGTCACACCTGCCTGCCTCTTCTTCTCCTCTTTTCTCCGCCTCCCTCCTCATTAGGCCCCTTTTACAGATGAGGAAACTGAGGCCCACAGGGAGGGGAAGAGAGTGGCTGGAGCCGCAGAGCTGGTCAGCAGCAGGCTGGATGGCAAGCTGGTCTGGGAGGCTGACCCAGCCCTGCTGCCGTCTGGGCTGTCCTGCAGGTTGGGAAGGGGAGTTGCCCAGCGTGAGTGGTCCTGGAGGACAGAGACCCAGCAGAGTCCCAGGCTGCAGGAGGGACCCTCGGCCTCCAAGGAGCAGGAGCCGGAGGCTCAGGGTGTCTCCAGACTGTTCCCAACGGTGACCCTGAGCAGGGAGACCCCGAGGCCACTGGAGCCGAACCAGCAGGATGGGGTGGGACGCGGGGCTCGGATCTCACAGCTGCATTTGGAGAGCATAAGCCTGGCGACTCTCTTTGGCCTTTGTGTCCATCCCCGGGCCCTGTATCCGGGTCAGATCAGATTCTCCAGCGCCTCCAAGTGTGCCCATGAATAATCCTGGCACTGCGGGCTTACTAAACCCATTTACAGATGAGGCTCAAGGGCAGAGGGGAGGAGGCTCCACAGCCCCTCTGATGACCAGACGCTGAGCTTGCCACCCACCCAGCCTCATCCCGAGCCCCTGCCTGCTCCATCCTGGGTGTCACCACCCCACCCTGACTCCTCCCCGAATGAAGCTGGAGCCCCCCTCACTGGGGGGCGCCTGACACAGGGCAGCTCTGGCTCAAGCTTGTGGAGGGAGGGGTGGGTGAGCACTGGGGGGAACGTGGGTGGTGGAGGGCACGGCCTGGGGTCAGATCCTCACTCCTCAGCTGTGTGGCCCTGGGACAGTCGCTTAACCTCTCTGAGCCTGGGTTTCCTAATCTGTAAAATGGGTGCGTGGAGCAGAGGGTCGGGTCGGGTGGAAGGCACTCCCTGGCTTGTGAGTGGCCAGCTGCCCTAGGGGACCGAGATAACTCAGGACCAGCGTGCGGGTCCAGGCAAGGCCCCCTCCCTGTCCCGCGGCCCATTGAGGGCACAGTCCCAGCCCTCTGTGGCCCTTGGGCCCCACCCACATGCCCGGGGAGCCCAGGGAGGCCAGGCCTTGCCTTTTGAACTTGTACAGGATGAAGGCCCCGACCGCGAAGAGCCCGCTGACGAAGAGGATTGCCACTGCCCAGTAGCCGCCTCCGCCTCCCAGGCTCGGGGAATCTGTGGGCAAAACAGTCTGTGAGCGCTCAGAGTGGGCAGCGGCCACCCCTGGAACCTGGGACCCCACTGTGTAAATCCCGGCCCTGGTCCTTCCCCCCTCGAAAGTGGACGCAGCCCCGTCCAGACCGGTGCTGGCATGGACACGTGTCTTCATGGAGCAGAAAGCCGCCCTTCGGCTCCTGCCAAGATTCTTGCCCCAGAGCGGGGAGGACGGTCCATGGTGGGCGTGGGGGCAGAGTGCATCTGAGACCCTGCATGTGCGCTCAGTCGCGTCCGACTCTGTGACCCCATGGAGCCCGCCAGGCTCCTCTGTCCAAAGGATTCTCCAGGCAAGAATACTGGAGTGGGTTGCCATGCCCTCCTCCAGGTGACCTTCCTGACTCAGGGATCGAACCCAGGTCTCTTATGCCTCCTGCTCTGGCAGGCGGGTTCATTACCACTGGCACCGCCTGGGAAGCCCAATCTGAGACCCTAAATGACATAAATTAAAGCAAGAGCTCCGTGTGTGTCCACGGGGAAGGGCAGCAAGGCTGACCAGGATTTACCTGACGACCACCGGGCCAGGAGGGACATATGGTCAGCAGAGGGGCCCCTCTGCCCCCAGTGTACACAGTAGCCGGCGTCGTCTGAGGGGCCTGGACGCCCGCCCATCCCACCTTGCAGAGGCGAGCCCGGCCAGGGCCCTCACCTGCGTCCACGTCCCTCATGGCCACCACGACCCGGACCCCGCCACGCAGGAGGAAGCTGATCTTCTGTGCATTCAGCACCTGCTGGATGGCCGTGAGCCTCTGAAAGCACAGAGCGGGGAAGACGGAGGGAGTCTTCAGGGTCCCAGCAGGGGGAGTGGGAGAGCTGGGCAGACGTCCGCCCTGACCCTCTGGGGTCAGGGGGCTGGGGGAGGGCCCCTGCGCCTCTCCGGGCCTCAGTCACCCCATCTGTAAAATGGGACTGCTAGCCACCAACCAACTCTTACCAAGAACCTCTGATGGGACACAAGTGATCCAAGTGTGGCCCTGCACTCAGAGAGCTCTGGTTTTAGCTGGCACCACGAGGTGTGGTAATCTAGGGATGTCCAGGAGGCCCCCGACCCCAGAAGTAATCAGGGGAAGCTTCTCGGAGGTGGAAGACCAAGAAGAGGACAAGACAGGGACAGGGCAGGTGACCCAGGCAGGCGAGCATCCCCGCCCTGAGGCAGAGAGCTCCCAGGGGTGGTACTGCAGGATCGTGGGGTGGAGGAGGGCTAGTGGGCCTCTGGGGCACCCTATTGGTTTGGGAATTCACAAGCGGGGAGTTTCTGGGGTTCAGAAGGGAGTCAGCCAGCCCACACGGGTGTCAGGGGTCACCCGTCTGCACAGGTGGTGCAGAGGTGCTGGGGAAGGAGGCCCCCAGGGATGGGGGTCCCGTGGCTCTGCTCCCTGGCCTCTGGAGGGGGGGCATTCCCTGGGGACTCTGGCTGAGCCTCCCTGGGCAGCGTTTTGGCATCTGGGACTCAGTTTCTGTTCACAGAATGAGGGTGCTGGGCTGGCCTGTCGCTTACACAGTTCCCCGCCTGGAGGATGTGGGAGGCACCTGCTTCTGCCCCTTGAACTGAGAACAGAAAGGTGCAACACAGGAATGGCTGCCAGGGGCTGGAGGGGGGCAGGGCTGACTGTGGTGGGGGCCAGGTTTCCTCTGGGACGATGAAAAGACTCCTTTGGGAGGGCTTAAATGGCGGTAGTGGTCACACGGCTGTGAATATACTAAAAACCACTGACTGGTACACTTTACAAAAGTAAACGTTATCTCAAAACAAAAGAAGAATCAGAACCACAGCCGAGCTCTTGACTAGTCGTGGACACCGATGCCCACGCAGACGTTCTGGAGAGAGTGGCCAGCGCTGAGGCGGGGCGGCAGCACAGTCCGCAGGACCCCTGTGGGTGGGTGGTGGAGCCCGTTTTACAGACGAGGTTGGTCATCACTTCCCTTCCAAGGAGCAAGCGTCTTTTAGTTTCATGGCTGCAGTCACCATCCGCAGTGATTTTTGAGCCCCCCCCAATAAAATCTGCCGATGTTTCCACTGTCTCCCCATCTATTTCCCATGAGGTGATGGGACCAGATGCCATAATCTTAGTTTTCTGAATGTTGAGCTTTAAGCCAACTTTTTCACTCTCCTCTTTCACTTTCAAGGTCAATGATTTTCAACTGGCTGCTGACTAACCTCCAGAGACACCCATCATCAGCGCTGAAGCTGGGCTGGGAGCCCCGGGTTCAGCCGTGGCTGCCCTCGGGCTGGGCTGCGGGTCAGGCCGGCACCGTCTCAGGTCCACCTGGAGGCCGCCCAGGCGTGCCTCGAGCGTGGCTCCGCAGCCAGAGTGGGAGTGGGGCACGGAGCCCGCGCTGTGCTTCCTGGCGGGGGTCTCACTGAGCCTCGCTTCCCTCGTCTGTAAAACGGGCGCCACCACCCACCCACAGGGGTCCTGCGGACTGTGCTGCCGCCCCGCCTCAGCGCTGGCCACTCTCTCCAGAACGTCTGCGTGGGCATCGGTGTCCACGACTAGTCAAGAGCTCAGCTGTGGTTCTGATTCTTCTTTTGTTTTGAGATAACGTTTACTTTTGTAAAGTGTACCAGTCAGTGGTTTTTAGTATATTCACAGCCATGCGATCGCTATTACCATTTAACTTCTCCCAAAGAAACCTTTTCATCCTCCCAGAGGAAACCCCGCCCCCACCAGCAGTCACCTCCCTCACCCCCCCAGACCCTGGCAACCACTCCTGTGTTGTCTCTCTGGACTGGCCGATTTGGACATTTCATATAAATGGAATCGCCCAATCAGTGGCTTTTTGTGACCATCTTCTTTCACTTTGCAGCATGCTTCCAAGGCTCACCCACGTTGCAGCCTGGACCAGAATGTCACTCCTGTTCATGGCTGAATAATATTCTGCTGTGTGTATGAACCACCTTCTCCTCACCCAGTCATCTGCGGGTGGACATTTGGGTTGTCTCCACTTTAGGGTTATGGAAACCCATGCATGTGGGTAGACACACATCTTCAGTTCTCTTTGGTTCATCCCCGGGGTTGAAGCTGCCGTGTTATATGGTAACTTTGTGCTTGAAGATCTGCCAGACAGTTTGTCTGGTGGCTGCAGCATTTTCCGTTCCATCTCAGCAGTGAACAAGGGGGCAAGTTTCTCCACGTCCTCGTCCACACTCAGCACTGTCCGCTTGTTGTGGAATTGCAGCTGCCCTGGAAGGCCTGAAGGGCTTCCCGCTCACCTTTCAGTCCCAATCCTAGCTGGATGTCCTGAAACCAGGTCCCAGCATCCCCTGGATGGTGCTCACCCCTCGAGTGAGGCTGGGGTGGTGCGGCCAGGTCCAGCCAAAGAAACGGGAGTGAAATTGGCACGTGCCCCTTGGGGGGCGGGTGCAGCCAGGTGCCCCCCACTCCTCCACCACCGTGACCCTGGGGTAGCCACAGGGGGGAGGAGGGACAGTGATCGGTGAGAGATAAGCCTTTCCGTGATGAAGAGTGACTAAGGTCCCCGTGCTTGTTGAGTATCACCGTCAGACCGTACGCCATGCGGTGGGGACCGGGCCTCCGGCCCCCCGCCCCCAACCCCCGACCCAGCAGCTGTGGGAGGTACCTTGTCACTGCTGAGGCTCCTCTTCCTCGTGGGCCTGGGAGGGGGCAGGAGCACGTGCAGGTCGGCCAAGGTGGGCAGCCCTGGCTTTACCACCGTTACCATCAGCTCCTCGGGGATGCTGGTCTCCTGCGGGGACACAGAGCCGCTCTGATGCGCCGTGTGCCTCCTCTGTCCCCTGGTGTGCTCCAGGGCCGCCAGGATGACACCCCTCCCTTCGTGACCTGTCCGAGTCTTGGCCGTTCTAGATCCTGGCCCGGCACGGCATGGCCCCCGCATCCTTTGGCTCCATTGTCCACCTCCCGCATCCCTACCCTTCTGGTACCTCGGCCTTCTGCCCCCACCACGGCCTCCGCTTCCCAGGGCTGCCCCCTTCAGCTCAATTCTCCCACCGCCGCCAGGTGAGCAGGCCCCTCCCTCGCTTACTGTCCTCCTAGGTGTCAGGGCTCCTGACCACGCAGCTTCCTCAACCCACAAAACTCTGCTTCCTGGAAGTCCCACTCCACGCACAGTCATCTAGCAAACTCCTATTCACCCTTCAGCGCCCAGGACAATACTACCCAAATTCTTTACAGGCCAAAGGGAGGCATGGCCGTGGTGAGCGTCAGCCTGGGACAGCTGTGGATGACTCCAGGGGGCTGGGCTTTCTCCCCTGGGGAGTCAGGGGCCTCGAGTGCCCTGTGCCCACCCTGCCTTTGCCTTCCGTGAGCTCCCTGATGGTACCCATCGCAGAGACTTGTCTGTCTCCCGTATCCAGCAGTGAGTAAATGAGAATCACTTTAAAGAGGTTCTGGACCGTCGGAGGAGGGCAGATGCGTCTCGCGCAAACAGCTGGTGCTCACTAGACGTGCATGGAGCATGCAGCCTGCCCCTCTCCCGTAAGACGACGCTCCGACCCCGTGTTCCCCAGGGCCAGGTGAAAGGATCCTAAGTGGCTTCCAAGCACCGTTGTCGGCGGACCCAGAGGACAGACAATTAGGACGCAGGGCAGCCTGCCCACTCCCACCCCCATCCCCTGCCCTGAGGACTCCAGCCCCCGCCCCCCACTTCCTCGGGGGTACCCACAACCCATAAGGGGGGCGGCTCTGCCACGGGTGAGCCAGGTACCTTGGAGAGGAGCCGGGACACCACGAGGCCGACGTCTTCCCTCCACTCGGGGGTGTTGGGGTTGTGAGCGTCCAGGTCCTTGGAAAACTGCAGAGGTACCACTTCAAACTGATCTGGAAAGAGGCGGAGATGGGAGAGTGTCGCCTGCCCTGGTCCCTTCACAGCCGGTGGCGACACCTCCTGAATGGCCCACGGCGGGTCCTGGGGGTGGATCCTGCAGCCCACCTGCAGAAAACAAGATTTCCCCCTCCACCCCGTCTGTGTGCCAGCAGCTGTCCCGGCGGGGCCCACTACACTGCTGCCATTTAATAATAATAATAACAAAGGTGACAACGATGAGGACCGCGGAGCTGACCTGGGAGGGAGAGCCAAGCCTGCTCTGTGACTTCCCCATCAACCCTCGAGGACAGACAAGCTCGGTCTTCTGTCTCCCAGGGATCCATGGAGTTTGACCGGGCTGTCCCCCCACCAGAATAAGAGTCCCTGGAGAGCAGAGTCCACCCCCTCCCCCCGCCTTCTCGTTCTCTCAAATTCCCCAGGGTCCCTGACTCAGACACCTCTTCTAAACCAACAAGCAGTAGGTGGTGAAAAAAAAACCCCAGCCCTGGGAGCCTCAGAGTGAACCGCCCTCTCTCCATTTAGCTCCCGAGCCTTGGATTCTTCGTTTGTAAAGTGGGAGGGGGCTCTGCCAGGGTGAGCAGTCAAAGGGACAAGCGCCTCGTGAACATGCAGGGTGGGTGGAGGTGAGTGTTGCAAGGTTCTAGGCTCGGGGTGTGGTGCTCACGGGCTCGGGAGTGAGCAATGGCCAAGGGCTGTCCCCTGAATACTTAAGTGATGGCTGCTGTCCACGGCAGATGCTGTTCTTAGAGCAAAATGAGGTTTTTATTGGGCTGATAAAGAGGGGAACGTGGCTCTGGGTGGTGGGACGCTTCCATTCTGAGGACTAATTTTCGGTTGTGACTGTCTCTTGGGGCCAAGGCTCAGACCACCCTCCCGGGGCGGGGGAACAGATAAATGGGACACAGATTCAGAGCAGGACTCCCAACAAAGTCCAGATCCCATGTCCTCTTTCAGACATAATCACGTGAGAGTCCTCAGATGCCAGGATGCTGAGGACAGGTGCCTGTGGGGGGCGAGGGGAGGGAGATCCGGTGGCCAATCCCAGCCCTGCCCCCCGATGCGTGACTCGCCACGCCCCTCAGCTGCATCCTCACTTGTGTCATGTGGGGCCCGTGAGTGCCCCGTGCATGGGAGGCATCAGTGTTTGTTTTACAGATGGGAAAACCGAGGCCAGGGAGTCTGGAGGTGTTGGAGCCGTGCTGGGCCATCCCTCCATCCAGCCGGGGCCGCCCCGGGGTGACCGGCGCCTCGGTGGGTACCCCCCCCACCGGCCTGACCCTGAGCTCCTGGGAAGGAGAAGCCGTGCTGCCTGCCACGGTGGGGGAGAGGGCGCTCACCCAGCACGCGGACCACCTTGGAGTCCTGCAGCACGGAGGTCCCGCAGGCGGCCTGCACCGTCACCCGCACGTCCCCCGGCTCCCCAAACCGCGTCGTCACAGAGTTCTCCAGGGACAGGCGGGGCTGCGGGCACAAGCGGGGGTCAGGACCAGGCCGGAGAGCTGGCCCCACGGGAGCCCTGCTGAGAGCACCTGGGGGGCGTGGGCAGGTACCGCCCGCTCCAGAGGCGCCTGGACCTGAGAGCTCCGCAGCTCAGACACGAGTCTCCCAGGGCCCCCTGCCCTCCAGAGGTGCCGAGACGCCCTGTGCCGAAGGCCCAGAGTGGCTGCTAGGCTGGGCGTCCCTGTCACCTTCCTGACCCACCCCAAGCTCAGCTGGGCTGTAGCACCTTCATGCTTGGCCCCAGGGCCCATGGGGTGGGGCGCCCACATCAATCATGGGGTCTGCACTATGACCTCAGGCCTTGCAGATGGGGAGACAGAGGCTCCGGGAGGCACAGTGACTCTCCAAGAGCTCAGCTAGAAGTGGCTGACTTGCCGCTCGAACCCGGAGCTTGAGCACCATCCTCACCCATCCCCATGCCCCGGAACCACAGTCCTGAGCCTGAGCCCCTCCCAGGCTGGGCCCTCAGCTGCTGTCTGCTGAATGAAGGAAGGATCCCCTTTGGATCTTGGGGCCCCTTCCCCCAGGCTAAGGGGGGCAGCCTCGTCCACAAAGGTCCTCAGGACCTCCCATCAGGCATCTGTCCTCGGCTCCCCACGGCTCGCAGGACACAACCCATGACCCTGGGTGATGCTTCTCAGGTTGGGCTTAGCCCAGGGACCCCCTCCTCCATGAAGCCCTCCCTGATAACCTCCACGCTCAAACTAGAAATGACCTGATCTGTGCTGGAGCTCCCAGACACATCACCTGTCCGCCTCCTGTGACACTTGTCACACCCTAACTCAGGTCACCTACTCTGTTCACACATCTTCCCCAGGAAAAAGCATGGTCTTGTCTGATCCGATTCATCACGTGTCCACCACGCTCAGACACAGCTGTACCCCGAACAGATGGTCAGGGTGGAGGGAGGGTTGGGGTGCGCCCGCCTCGCCTCCACGGTGTCACATGCTCCGTCCTGCCCAGTATGGAGGGTGGGATCTGCCCCACACCACTGCAGACGGGAGCCTCCGGGGGCCCGGGGCCTGCGTACCTGCAGGCTGTGGCCGATCCACCAGTAGAAGACGGTGAGGTTGGGGTTCAGGGGCAGCAGCACGGCTGTGAGGTTCACTTCCTGGCTGACGCCGATGACAGGGACCACTTCCAGGTAGAGGGCCTGCAGGGGGGCTGCAGGGCCCACACAAAGGTTAGGGGTCAGAGGGCATCAGGGCCCTGGCCATGCAACCGGTTGCTATTGGTCACTGTCACCATCAGCCTCATCACCACCACCACCACCACCAACACCTCTACCACCATCATCACCACCATCATCACCATCATCACCACCATTATTACCATCACCACTACCACCGTCGTCACCATCACAATCATCAGTCACCACCATCATCAGCTCTATCATCACCATTATCACCATCAAATCACAGTCAATACCATGATCATCAATACCATTGCCACCATTCCCATCACCATCATCACCACCATTATCATCATCAGCTCCATCATCTCCATCATTGCCACCACCATATCATCACCATCACCACCATCACCATCATCACTATCACCACCATCACCACCAAATCACGGTCAATACCATGACCATCACCACCATCACCATAATCGTCACCACCATTATCACCATCACCATCACCACTACCATCATCATCACTGCCATCACCATAACCACCATCACCATCAATCAACACCATGACCATCATCAATACCATCCCCACCATCCTCACCATCACCATCATCATCAGCTCTATAATCACCACCATGATCACCACCATCATCACTATCACCACCATCATCACCATCACCATCATCACCATCATCACCTCTATCATCAGCTCCATCATCACCACCATTATCATCTTCACCTCATCACCACCACCACCATCATCATCTCTATCATGACCATCATCACCACCACCATCATCACCACCAACCCCACTGTTGCACAGACCACTGATGGTGTGGACTCAAGCCCAGTCTGCATGCCTCCCTGCATGGGTTCCCTGTGCTTCCCCAAGGACCAGGTCTCTCTGTCACGGGGAGTCACCCTTGGCCTCGAAGGGGTGATGGACTTACAGTTGACTTGGACAAACAGCACTGCCTCGTCATGCCCTGCCATGTTCTCCGCCCTGACAGACACACGGTAGACACCAGGGCTCTCGTAGCGGTGCCGGATGGGCTCCCCGGTCAATGTGAGGTTCACGTACATGGCCTTGAAGCCGTCCCCCAGGTCCACCTGGTACTTGGTGGTCAGGACATCACCCTGTAAGACACACCAGGGGACCACTTAGGACCTGGCCACAGAGCTGGGGGCCAGCCATGGGCCATTCACCAGCTCACTCACCTATTCATTCACCCACTCATTCATTCATTCCCTCACTCCTTTCTTTCCTCAAAGCAAGCTCTCTGGGGACTCCAGGGAACCAGGTCTGTTCTATCCTTGCCCCCCCCCACCCCGCCCCAGCCTGGAGGGCAGGGCTGAGACCAATAGGAGAGGATGGAAGTAGTAGCCAGGGCCAGGTTTGCATTTCAGGAAGATGACCCAATGGCTGGGAGGAGAGGAGTCAGCACGGATGAGCTCAGGGAGGCCTGCACCGGGGACCAGGAGGGTAGCAAGAGGCCTCACACCCGCTGGATGGTTTGAGTAACAGGGGGATGTGCATGCATGAAAACTCTCAGCCTCCTAGGAAATTAAAACACTGTTTTCCCCTCTGATGCTGCAATTCCTGCATTTTCTTCATCTTCTCACTCTACGTGGTGCGGGAGTGATGCTCGGGTGCATGGGCTCTATGCAGGGAGGGGGGTCCCATGACTGTCACCCGTTTTCAGCATCTCCTCACCCACACGAGCCGTCTAATCGCCTGTATAATCCCCACCATGAATATCGCCCTTCCAATAACCGTGTTTTCCTCATGGAGTCTTGGGAAAGGAAATTGAGGAAGCAAACAGGAACGTTTTCAACTTCGTGGCAAGAACGAGTTCTTCAATTACTGCACGTTCTCTCTCCCCATCATCTCCCTATCATATCTTCCTGCCAACCCTCTGCCTGCTGGGGGAACACCCAGGAAACCATGTCCTAGAGGTCAGGAATGAAACATGACCATCATTAACCGTTTAGCAATCCTCTTGGTTTACACCTGCCAAACCTTAGAACTTGACAGAGTACTTTTATATAAATTATGTTCATTCACCTTTCTTCACAAATACAATGTAAAAGGTGGGATCATTCCCAGTCCCTCCCCCATCCATACCCACTCGGAACTTCAGAACGTGACCTTATTTGGAAACAGGGTCTTTGCAGATGTAATTAGTTAACCTGAGGTCACACTGAATTAGAACAGGATCTCTAAGTTCAATGGCTGGGTCTTTAGCAGAAAGAGGAGGGGCTCTGAGACACAGAAAGGAAGCCAGGTGAAGACAGAGGCTGGACCAGGGATGCCCGGAGCCCCCAGAAGCTGAGAGACAAGGGAGGACCCTCCTTCCGGGGGAGCACAGCCCTGCTGACACTTTGACTTTGGACTTCCAGCCTCCAGAACTCTTGAGAGGAAACATCTCTGTTATTTCAAGGCACCCAGTTTGTGGCCACTGTCGTAGCATCTCAATGAGAGAGCAGCCCCTGCTTGCCTCAACTAAAAAAAGCCCTCACAGCAACGAAGACCTAGCACAGCCAAAATAAATAAAATTATATTAAAAAAATAATAAAAACCTTGTCATAATCAGGAAGGTAATAGTGGCAATGTAAGAAAATACAAAAAGGCAGAGAAGCAGATAGAAAGGAAAAATGGCAGCATCACCACAACACCCACCACCCACAGCGAAGTGTTTCCATGCAGATTTGCATGTGTGTGTGTGCTTATTCCTGAGTGCTTCAAAAACACTGGGGAGCCTCATGCTGAGCCAACTGCCAGTTCACGTGTGATTGTCAAGGATATAACACAGAGAGACCCATGTTGGTGGTACCATTTCTCCCCGTGCAAACATCTTGCAGAACACATCACAGCTTGGAATCCACAGTGACTCAGCCACAATTCAGTCACCCCTGGGGTCCCTACAGCTACCCTTTCACACCCAGACGTGCCTCTCCATCACATCCCTGACTTCATGGGATTAGAAGCTTCAACTTGTTCTCCATTGCTATAATTTCATTATTTGGGCAATATCCTCTAAATGGAATCACTGGGATTAGCTTTCTCACTCAGTATAATTCTCTGCAGATTCACCCAAGCTGTGATGTAGAGCCTGTTCCTTCTTATTTCAGAGTACCACCCGTGGGATGGACGTACCAGCTCACCGTGGGTTTATCCACTCACCCGTCGAGGACATCTGGCTGTCTCTGGGTCCTGGCTCTTATGAATAAAGCTGCTGTGAACCTTGATGTACACAGGTTTTCCCACGAACCTCCTTGTTTCTCTCGGATAAAGGCCCAGGAGTGTAACTGCCTGTGGTTGCTGTATGCTTAGTTTTTAAGGAAATGACCAACTTTTCCAGACTGGTTGTACTATTTCACATCCGCGTCAGCCATGTAGGAGGGACCCAGTTTCTCTGCGTCCTCAACAGGGTTTGGTGGGACCACTGTCTTTCATGCTGGCCATTCCCGTAGGTGTGCAGGGATGCCTCTTTACATTGCATTTCTCTGATGGCTAATGATGCTGAACGTGGTTCCCTGTGCTTATTCACCATTCACTTCAATGACATGTTTCTCCATGGTTTCTGCTCATCTTCTAATTGGCTTGCTTGTCTTCTTATGGTTGGGTTCTGAGTAACCTTTATATATTCTGGGTACTAGTCCTTGTTGGATATGATCTGTAATTATTTTCTCTGTGGCAGTCTTTTCACCTTCTTCGGCTCTGTCCCAGATCAAACATGTCGCATTCTGACGAAGGCCAGTTTATCACATTTCCTTCATGGGTGGTGTGTAGGGTGTCAATGCTAAGAACTCTCTGTCTAGCCCTACAGTGCAGGTATTGTCCCCTGTCTTTTTTCTACAAGCTTCACAGGTTTCCATTTAAGGCTGTGATCCACTTTGAGTCGACTGCATCAGGCATGAGGTTTGTTTTCACCGGCTCCTCCTTTGTTGATGCCCATCCTTCCTCCGCTGAAATGCTTTGGCGCCTCGGCCAGAATCATCCGGACCTGTCCGTGCGGGTCTGTTTCTGGGTCCCCCATCAGATCTTGTTTTCAGTTCTGAGATCTTCACAGAACTTGGATTCCCCTAAATCCAGGGCTGTTTCCACACCTGGATTGGGTGCGTGTGTCTGTGGCTGTGTACGAATGCAAGTGCGTGGTCACGGGTGAACATGTGTAAGTGTCCGTGTGTGTGTGTGTGTGTGTGTGTGTGAACAGGTATACACAGGTATACACCCGTGCGTATACCCACTCCAACCTTGTACCCACTCCTTCCCAAGGCTTTGACGCGGGAGCCAGTGGCCTCTTCCGGACAGTGGAGGGCAAAGGACTCTCTTCCAAGAGCAGCTGTCTGCCGTCCCCTCACCCCCGCCCTCCAGGAGAGGGGCCCAGCCTGCTGGGATGGTGGGCTGCCAGGCGTGTCCTGTCCTGGGTCTGGATGGAGCGCCCCGGCTGTGACCAGCTGCTGGGATTCCGGGCTCTAGAGGGCAGCAGGTGGCCATGTTTCCTGCAAGTCAGTCCTGGAGCTCCAGGCGGCAGCTGGGTCCCCTTCGAGGGTCCCGGTAGCCCCAGGCTGGGCAGGGGGCTGCACCCCCCTCTGCAGTGAACAGAGCCTTCCCCCTGCCCCCGCACACACACACACCGCCCCAGGGTTGCCCGAGGCTGGAGCGTGACTTTCAGGGCCAGGCTCAATCATCATGGGGCCAGCAGGTTGATGCACCCTCGGCTCAGGTCTGGGGGCTGCAAACCAGGAGGTGTCCACACGGAGCCCCCAGGCCTGGACCCAACGCCAGCTCTGCGTGGCCCCAGGTGGGTGCTTCCCCCGTCTGAGCCTCAGCATCCCCAGCTATAAAGCCAGCTGGGGGGAGCACATCCCGTGGGTGGGGGAGGACGGAGGGGAACATGCCCATGGGGCGCCCGCACATCCAGTTCTTCACACGGGACCAGAGAACCCGCTTTCCAACATCAGAGGCCGCGTCGGCGTTCCCCAGTCCCACTAGGCAGGCATGGAAGGACGTCTTCTACATGAAGCCCCACTAGGTTCCCCCAACACCTGGGCCCCAGGTGGGAAAAGGGGGTTCTGTACCCTCTTTGTGCTTTCCTGTCATTATGAATTTCCTGTCTGCTTGTGAGTTTTTTTAGCTTCTATTTTTGAATTTTCTACCATGAACGTTTGTTACATCTATAATCAGAAAAATAAGCACGCTGCATATTAGTTTAAATAGACTAGAAGGGAATAAATTAACAGTGATCACCTTGAGAGAAGAAGATTTTGGGTGACATTTATATCTTTATGTTTTTAATGTGTTTCCCCAGTGTTCTACAATGAGCATATACTGTTCTTAAAATCAGAAAAAAAGTAACACTTGTGCTAAAAAGAGAAAGGAATACTAGGAGACAGGGAGGAATTTATATGTTTATATGTGTGTGTGTGTTAGTCGCTAAGTCATGTCCAACTCTTTGCAATCCATGGACTGTAGCCCACCAGGCTCATCTGTCCATGGGATTCTCCAGGCAAGAATGCTGGTGTGGGCTGTCATTCCCTTCTCCAGGGGATCTTCCTGTCCCAGGAATCAAACCCAGGTCTGCCACACTGCAGGCAGACTCTTTACCATCTGAGCCACCTGGGAAACCTCGTGTGTGTGTGTGTGTGTGTGCGTGCGTATACACACATATGAAATACTTCTATATCCAGCCATCTATATTTGTATCTATGTCATCCATTAACTATCAATGATTTTCTCATCAATCTACATCTATTTATCATTTATATCTATCTATCTATGCATCACTGTGAACAAAGCTAGTGGATGTGAGGAGTTCCAGTTGATCTATTTCAAATCCTAAAAGATGATGCTGTGAAAGTGCTGCACTCAATATGCCAGCAAATTTGGAAAACTCAGCAGTGGCCACAGGACTGGAAAAGGTCAGTTTTCANATATTAAAAAGCAGAGATATTACTTTGCCAGCAAAGGTTCGTCTAGTCAAAGCTATGGTTTTCCAATAGTCATTTATGGATGCAAGAGTTGGACCATACAGAAAGCTGAAGAATTGATGCTTTTCAACTGTGGTGTTGGGGAGGACTCCCGAGAGTCCCTTGCACTGCAAGAAGATCCAACCAGTCCATCCTAAAGGAAATCAATCCTGAATTCATTGGAAGGACTGATGCTGATGCTGAAGCTCCAATACTTTGGCCACCTGATGCACAGAACTGACCCTGATGCTGGGAAATATTGAAGAAAGGAGGAGAAAGGGATGACAGAGGATGAGATGGTTGGATGGTATCACCGACTCGATGGACATGAGTTTGAGCAAGCTCCAGGAGTTGGCGATGAACAGGGAAGCCTGGCGTGCTGTAGTCCATGGGGTCGCAAAGAGTCAGACATGACTGAATGACTAAACTGAACTGATTTATCTATCTATCATCTATTACAGAATTTGTGTTGGCTATGAGATTATAAAGTAATGATTTTTTTTAAACTGCCTGTTTTTCTTAATATTCCAAATTAGCTAGATCAGTATAAGGAGAGGTTTAAAGCATTCTGTTGCCGCCCACGGGAATGACATCACCATGAGGTAAACACCCAGGCAGACGTGTTTGAAGCCGTGTCTCCCTGGACCTGAGCTGGCGGCTTGCTGCGCCATCGCCCCTGCCCTCCACTCTCTCCTGAGTTTTCCATTTCATTGCTTTAGTGCTGGTTTGGACCTGGGCAGGGGTCTCCAGGGCACTGCTACCTCCCGCAGTTTGGAAAACGCTGGTCCAGACGACTCCGCGCCCCAGGACTCCGAGGGGGAGCGGACGCCGCCCACCGCCCCGTGCGCCCGGCCGAAGCGGCCCCTCACCTGCTCCTGCCGCACCACGAACAGGACGTCCTCGCCGGGCCGCACGGCCACCGCCTCGCCGCGGATGCTGACCTGCAGGCCCCGGGGCGGCAGGAGCGGGCACTGCAGCCGCACCGGGCTCTGCCGCAGGTCCACGCCGCCCTCGCACACGTTGGACACCAGCTTCCGGTACCTGCGGCCAGAAGGCGGGTCAGGGGCTGGCGCGGGGCGGGGCGGCCGGACGGCTTCGCTCGCTGTGCGGGGCCTCCTGGCTTGTGACCCCCACGCGTCAACCCCCCTCCCTCTTCCTGACTTGTGTTTGCTCTTTCTGCCCATCTTGGAGCTGGGGAAACTGAGGCTCAGAGAAGGGAATGAGCACTAACGGCAGGACCGGCGTCCCTCACTGGGCCGAGCGTGTTCTCACAAGGATGGTGAGAGGTGTTGTTGCTAGGGAGACGACTGAAGGAGCCAGAATGGATACTGCGACTTTGCTGGGAAACGTGGTCCCAGGAAGCCAGAGTGCCCCAGACGGGCTGGGACGTCCCGCTGACCCGCCATGTGGCCGTGGGCAATCACAGCCCCACGGGAGGCCTTCTCCTCTTACACCGAGTGACTGGGGCCAGATGACACCCGATTCACCAGCTCATTCACGCAAGGCAAATTGCCTGAGCATCTGCTATGCGCCAGGTGCAGGGGTCGAGGTCATCCCTCGAAGCCCCTGACTTTTCAGGGAGGACTGTCCAGTGGGAAGGCCGCCCTCACCAAACCACCCCACACATCAAAGCAACATCACGACCCTGAGAGTGTGGGGAAGGGGCTGCACCTGGGGATCTGGTCCCCAAGAAAGGGGCTTTCAGCTGAGAGCAGGAGGTGAGCAGGAGAGTGAAGTGTGTCCTGGGCAGTGGAAACAGTGTGTGCAAAGGCCCTGTGGTGGTGGGGGGCAGGTGTGAGGTGAGGGTGGGGAGAGGCTGGCAGGGAGGGCCTAATGCGCTCTAGTAAACTGTTAGGGCTTCCCTAGTGGCTCAGTGGTAAAGAACCCACCTGCCAAAATGCAGGAGACATGGGTTCAATCCCTGGGTCAGGAAGATCCCCTGGAGGACGAAATGGCAACCCACTCCTGTATTCTTGCCTGGAGAATCCCATGGACAGAGGACCCTGGCAGGCTATAGTCCATGGTGTTGCAAAAAGTCAGACACGACTCAGCAACTAAACAATAACAACAAACTTTTAGGAGACGTTAGGAAGATCTTGCTAGGGTGGCATCAGCTGAATTGTTATCATGCAAAGATGTATGTGGTTAGTTGGGAAGAAAATACCCTCCCTAAGAGGGTACCCAGCCACAGCCCCTTGGCATCCAGAGTGTGCAGATGGTGTGAAATGAAACCCTTTGCCCTTGATATGGGTCCTGACTCTGACATTTCAGACAAGAGTCCCTGCTTGCTAAGCCCTGGAGCAGCTGCTGTGGCTCCTTGATGGAGGGAGGGATGGATGATAGATGGATGATGGATAAATTATTGGAGGGATGGGAGGATGAACGGATGGTGGGTGAGTGAGTGGAAGAATAAAGAGATGGATGGTTGGATGGACAGATGGATGATGGATGGATGGGTGGACAGATGGGTAGATGGATGAATGGATGAAGGATGGATGGGGAATACATAGATAGATGATTGGATGATTGGATGGACAGAGGAATGATGGATGGATGGGTGGATGGATGGGTGATGGCTGGATGGGGAATACACAAATAGATGACTGATGATTGGATAGATAGATGGATGATGGATGGATAGGTGGATGGATGGATGATGGGTGGATGGATGGATGTTGGATGGATGGATGGATGGATAGATGGATGGATGGAGGATGGATGGATAGATGGATGGATGGATGATGGATGGATGGATGATGGATGGATGGAGAATACACAGATAGATGATTGGATGGATGGATGGATGGATAGGTGGATGATGGACAGATGCGTGGCTGGATGAATGGATGATGGATCGATGAAGAATACATGGATAGATGATTGGATGATTAGCTGGCTGGATGATAGAATTTATGCCACTGAGGTCCAAGCCTGCAATCTCTGGCCCTACTTTTTGCTTCTTCAGGCTCTGTCCTGCCCCATCCCCAGAGGCATCAACCTGGCTTGTCTAATAAGTCCATAGGCAGTTCATTCCCTCTCAGAACTTCCCCGCAGGGACACAGAGACCTTTAGATGAGGCTTGCATAGGGCCTGTGGAGCCGCAGGCTCCCCGCTGTTACATACAGAACGCTGTTATAGTTTGATCCCTGAGACGCAGCGCGTTCAGCCTCTGTGGGAGGGAGGAGGTCACACCTGTGGAGCACTTCCCTCCCCCTCACACACAGCGTGTGTCCGTCACACCACACACTGAGGGACACGCCATGTGTCAGAAAGCTTAGCCCAGTCCAGGGGACAGCTGGGTGAGTATGACAATAACTGGGGATGTTCCATTCCCACAGAGTAAGCTCAGGGCCCAGGGTGAGTCAGGGAAGGCTTCCTGCAGGAGGTGCCATTCAAACTGAGACCTAAAGGGAATGTGAATATCTCTGGTCCAGCTCAGGCCTGGCTCTCTCAGGGTTGGTAAATAGGGAGGGGCTTTGGCACTGCAGGGACTTAGAGGGGCCAGGGAGGTGGGTTCCTTCAGTGCCAAGGTGAGGGACCTTCTCTGCCTGTTGCTCTCTGTTCAGAGCCAGCTCAAGGCATCTCTTCTCCCTGACGCTGACCCACCTGGGCTCCGAATGGAGAGCCCTGGGTGGGGGGCAGAGTCTGGGTGACTTGCAGGAGCCCCAGCGCAAAAGGCAGTCAGCTCTGATTTCTCTCTCTTGGCTCCACGTGAGCAGCTGTGGGAACCAGGCGGGAACAGCAGGGGTCACCATGGTTCTGCCCCGTGCGACTCACCCGAGACTGCTGGTGTAGGTCTGGCCCAGGACACAGTCGTCAGGGGGCGACAGAGGGTTAAACCAGAAGTTGGCAAAGCACTTGTTGGCATCGGACTCCGAGGAGGGGGCGCGCTCAAATCCATAGTCACTGGGAGGAGGAAGACACGGCGGTCAGGAGACAGGCAGTGGCAGGGATGCGAGCCAGCCCAGGGTAGGTGCCCCACACCAAGGACACACAGAGGCAGATCCACAGGCCCCGTCCCAGAGGGGAGAAGGACTGAACGCTGATGGTTACATTCTGGGTGAGAAGGGTTGCAAAGGGGATTCTGGGAAATTACAGCGGAGTGCTGAATCCAGCCTGGGCATCCTGGAGGGCTGCCTGGAGGAGGTAGGCTGACTCTCAATGGAAGATCAAGACATAACCAGGGGAAGGGGGGAAGGGCACTGCAGGTGGGGACCAGCCCCTTCAGCACGGGAGATGCAGGTGGAGATGGCAGAACGAGGAAGGGCGAGGATGGCTGGGGAGGGAGCCAGCTTCCAGAACTCAGACATTCTCCTGTGGGTGATGGGCCAGCACAGGAGTTCTTGAGTGGGGCGGGGATGGGGCGGGTGGCCAGGGGGCTTCCAGGCGGGTCTCTGGACGGTGGAGGAGGGGCTGGCTGGTCCCCAGGGTGCCATCCATCTTCCTCCGTGTCCCCGCCCACCTGGGAGCAGGGCACCCCGTGCTGGCTTGGGAAGGATGCCCATGGATTCTTGAACGTGGGCCGGACCGGGTGGCTGGGTGCTCGGGCCCGGGATATCGGGGCTGTGCTGGAGCATTGGTCTCAGGTCGTCCGCGGGGGTGGCGGCTGCAGGGTCCGTCGGGCAGCACTGCCCCCTCCCCGGGGCTGGGGCAGAGCGGGACCCTCACCAGAGGAAGTCTGAGGCCCGGCAGGGGCACACGCGTGCTGTGAGCGCCGCCGTGAAGCTGCGGCCTGTGACGCACCAGGACGCGGGCTTCCTCCTGCGGAAGCTTCTCTGCTGGCCCATGACACAGCGGTCACCCTGTGGGGGGACATGGGGTGAGGGGCCGCCCCGCTGCGTCCCCCACTGCCAGTCTGGCCAGTTCCTCATCCCCCTAGCCCGGGCGGTCTTCAGGGCAGGAAACCGGGGCCCGGGGGAGAGCTGTGTGTGTACCTGAAGCCGCCCTGGGGCAGCCCGGCCCCTGTCCATCCCCACCCCCCACCCCAGCACTCGCTGGGCCCTGAGGGGGTCTCAGGCCCCGGAAGAGAGGCCCCACGCAATCCTCAGGCCCGAGGGTTTCAGGTGGGCCCTGTGAGGCTGGGACNGTAGGCTCTGGGAGTTTGTGATGGACAGGGAGGCCAGGCGTGCTGCAATCCATGAGGTCGCAAAGAGTCGGACACGACTGAGAGACTGAACTGAACTGAATGTATGATACCCGCATCCTGTTACCTTCCCTCAATCCCACAAATCCGGGAGCCTGAGCACAGCTGGCTTTGGGCTGGGTCATGCCACTGTGCCCCTGGGTGTACCCACAGACCCTGGCCCAGGCCGCCCAGAAGGGCCAGCAAGGCCAGCAGGAGGACCCACATCCGGGGAGGCTGGCAGCCTGGCAGGATGGGGGTTTTGCGGGCAGAGGGGGTGCTCTGCGCGGGGCCCGGCCCACCTGCGGGTTGGTGAGGTCCCAGGAGCTGTAGTCATCCTCACCGCACCGCCTGGAGAACCAGGGCCGGAAGTCCACCTTGACCAGCTCCCAGTCCGAGCGGAAGCTGATGTGGCCGAAGACACTGGGGAGGGAAGGAGGGGGCAGGAAACCGCCTTAGTCCGGCCTGCCCCCCAGGCGCCCACCGGTCCCCTCCGGGCCTCCGCCCACACCTGCCCGGTCGGTCCAGCGGTCTCTCTCCTCCCCCGCTGGGCAGCCCCAAGGCGGATCCTGTGCAGGGCTGCAGGCCTTTGGGCATCGGCATCAAGCGTTCCCACCACCACCACCCATTATCTACGGCTCGCGGATGGTGCTGCTGTGGGTCATCCCAGGGGCCCCCCACGGGCAAGGACATGGGCGCAGTGGGGTCAGGAGCCCAGCCCGCCCTCAGTGGCCAGGCTGGTCCGGGCAGAACTGTTTCACATGACGACTCATGGGCAAGCTGTCTGTGTTCTGTGCTGGCTGGCTTCTCCCCGCCTGCGTCCCCGCCTCTGTTGGCCTGTCCATACTGGGGGTTGGGGTGGCCCGTGCTGTAGAAATCCAGCTCCCTCTGCATAGCTGGGCCACAGAATTTTCCCCCCAAGCAGACTGGATAATCCATGGAGAGGTAGGGAGTCATCCCCTGGCTCAGAGCGGGCTGGGAGAGCTGTGTTTGTATGCTGCTTGGTCTAAATCCTCACCACAGCCCACTTCACAGAAAGGAAAACTGAGGCAGAGAGAGGGTGAGTAACTTGCTTAAGGTCACACAGCATGTTTGTGCCACTTCTTTGCCCGCGGCTATCATGTGCTGAGTGCCTATCATACGATGCCCAGATCCCTCGCTCTCCAAGAAGGCTGCTGCTTGACGGGTTGCCACCTGACCCTCCCAGCACCTCACACCTGGGCTCCAGGAGCCCAGCCTGCACTTCTCTGGTCCTTCTCCAGTTCTCCCTGTAGGACCCCGGCCATATTACCAGAGGTTGAGCGCCTGGATGGAGGAGGTGATATACTCACTCCAGCCTTGGTCCCCATTCCAGGCTGACAGATAGGAGCTGGATACTTGGGGAAATCAATCGTGGTCTAAAGGGCACAAACCCCAGTCTAGGAGAGTAGTTGAGAAGGGCCTTGGAGTGTTTTCTCAGGGACATGATGGCTGGCTCTGCATGCCTGAGGCTGACACCGGAAGAGGGGTTCTGGCTCCAAAGGGCACCTCGGAGCCAGACAAGCCTGGGTGACGTCTGTTTACTTGTCTGTGACCTTCGGCATGTCCGCTCCTCTCTGTACCTCCTTTTCCTTTAAAATGGGGACAATGACACTGGCCTTTTGGGATCCATGGTGGATTAGCGATGGTTTGTGTAGGACGCTTGTGGGACACTGTAGAAGGTTTACAGACACACATGCACACGCACACTCACTGTTACACATACACCAGACGTGGCCCAGCAAGGCCCACACGGCCCGCTTCTCCTCCGCCTGGTCCAGCAGCCCTCAGAGGGGCTCCCGACAGAGAGGTCGTGGGGGGCCCGGATGGGGGTGGTGACGGTGGTCGTGAAGGTGTCCCGCTGGTCCGCTGTCCCGACTCCCGTCCTGATGGGGACAGTCCCCTCCCTGGGAGTCTCACCACATGGGGACGGTCTTTGCCTCGGCGACCCCTTCTCGCAGGCAAATCCAGCTGGACTGTCACTCAAACGGGGCATGAGGGTCTTAGCTCACTGAAGGGACGTCCTTAAAGGACATCTTCACACCAGTATTCCGGCCTGGGGAACTCCGTGGACTGCACAGTCCACGGGGTCGCAAAGAGCCGGACAGGACTGTGCGACTTTCACTCACTCGCTCACGCCAGGTCCTCACAGCCTGAGCCTGTCTCCGCTCTTCTGGAAGCCGTGTTACGACGGCGGTGACCGCAGCGGTAACTGCTGGCGTGTGCCCTGCCCCTGCCAGGCTCCCGCCGCCCACATCCACTCCTCCTCACCACCCCAGGGGGCGTGCTGTGAATAGTCCCACCTTACTGACAAGGAGACTGAGGCCAGGGGCCCCTCAGGATGGCACGGCTGTGGCCCAGCTCCTGGGGAGTGGGATCGGTCTACTGGCTCGTGACTTTGGGGCTCCCATGCCCGGCCCAGGAAACACATGCTGGCCTGAGCTTGACCACCATGCAAACTCCTGGGCGGGCTGCACAGGCCCCACCAGGGAAGTCTCTGAAAAGAGGCTGGTTCACTTGATCTAACTAATCCCCTCTGTGTCTCTGAAGTCCTGCCTTTTATGAAGCCTAAACGTTCAGCTGATACTTTGAGAAATAGCTGGCATCTGGCTAGCTCTGAGTTTTAGGAAGTCAGTGCCTTTAATGTGTGTGTATGAAAGTGAAAGCATTAATCGCTCAGTGTCCGAGAGTAGGTACCCATTCCCTTCTCCAGGGGCTCTTTCTGATCCAGGGATCGGACTGGGGTCTCCCACATCACAGGCAGATTCTTTACCATTGGAACCACCTTCTGAAAGTCGGAAAGTGAAAGTCACTCAGCTGTGTCCGACTCTCTGTGACCCCGTGGACTATACAGTCCATGGAATTCTCCAGGCCAGAATACTGGAGTGGGTAGCCTTTCCCTTCTCCAGGGGATCTTCCCAACCCAGGGATAGAACCTGGGTCACCCGCATTGCAGGTGGATTCTTTCCCAGCTGAGCCACCAGGGAAACCCAAGAATACTGAAGTGGGTAGCCTAGCCCTTCTCCAGCGGATCTTCCTAATCCATCACCTTCACCATCATACCACCATCATCACCATCACCATCATCATCATCTTCACCACCAACAGTATCACAATCTCAAAGGGCCAAATGGGCAGTGATCCAGGGCTGACCCTTGACTCTGAGTCCCACCCCTCACCAGCCAGGTGATCCTGGGCAGATGACAGATGTCCTTGGTTAGGGACGAGTGGCCACCTTCCAGTGGCAGCAGATGGTGAGAAACAGGGAGGCAGGTGTGAAGATGGAGGTGAGAGTGAGGAGGATGGGGAGGGAGGCGGGGGGTCAGTGTTGAACCCGCCTAGAGCGGCAGGGCCTGAGGTGGCCCTCCGCCACAGCCCGCCTGGGGTTCGGCTCTGACCTGCCTGCCCACCTCCCGTGGGCACTCACGTCATGACCAGCGTCTCGTCGCCGGGCTCGCTCAGCAGCCCATCCACAAACACGGAAGTGCTGGTGAAGTTGTGCGTGCTCCAGGTGAGGCCCTCGTCCACGCTGAACCTGCCAAGAGAAGGGGCGGCTGGGGACACAGTCTGCCTCCAGGCCAGCTGCCTTGTCAGACCCAGACCAGCTCACGCCCAGGGGCCAGAGCTGTCCAGCTGAGGCGGCTGGGCAAACAGGCGGGGCAGTGGCCAGCCCAGTATCCCCACCACAACTGGACCCCATCCTCACACTCTTGTAGGAGGTCACGGCAGCCCCCTGCCAGCGCCAGGTGGCATCCATGTCTGCTCAGGGACACCACAGTCAAGGAGCCCTGGGGATGTGGCCTGAGATCCCCTGGACTGCAGTTATCCAGGTCTTAGAAACATCCAGGTCAGCCCTGCCCAGTGCCCAAGCCCAGCCCAGGGTCTGCCAGGTCACGCATGGGAGCTCACTGCCTCCCATTGTGGCGTATCAGTGTTGCCAGCTGCCGTGCAGAAAGATCTTTTTCAGACTAAAGTGATACTGGCATCCTGAGAACTCCCGCAGCTCTGCCTTCCAAGTCCAGAGTTCACACCTGACCTCGCATCCCCACAACAGCCCTTCACACATCTGAAGCTGATGCCAAACCCACTCTCGCCTGGGCACACACAGCTGGCTTCCCTGTCCTTCACCTATCTAATTCAGGTCTATCTGGAAAAGTCACCTGCTCTGGGAAGACTCCCTGCTCTCCCAGGATGGGGGGGGCTGGTAGGGGCTGTTAGGGGCATCCTCATAGCCCCAGGCCTCCCTCTGGCCCACCCGATCATGCTGGGTCGTCATTCCCCACCCCCTTGTCTCCCCAGCCCTGGCAAGGAGCAGCTATCAGCAGCATGGGTGGGGGTGGTAAGGGGGCCGGGTGGTGCTGGGGAATGGGGTGCGGGTGGTGGGAGGTGGGAGTGGGTGGTGGGTGCTGGGAGGCGGGGTGGTGGTGGGTGGGGAGTGGGCACTGTGCAGAGCCTGGCATTAGCCCCCTTGGCAGAGTCTGGTGCCTTTGTCCTGGGGTCCTGCGGGGGGGCCATCCTGGGGAATGCTCCGAGGAGTTCCCCAGTGGAGGGGAACAGCCCCCGCCACACTGCACACCGGCGCCCGGGGTCTTACTTGAGGATCTTCAGTGGGATGGAGGTGTCCTTGATGGCCACGATCACGCCACCGTGGTCCAGGTAGAGGATGTGGTGCTCCTCCTCGAATACCTGCGGGAGACCACAGGCGGGGCTCTGAGGGCAGGACCCAGGGAGGGCTGGGAGGGCTCTCAGGTGCGGGGGTCGCTCTCCTGGGGACAGAACTGCCCCCACGCTGGCTGGGGGGCTGCAGCAGAGTCCAGCTCCCCGACGCAGGGCTGGTCAGAGGGCTCCTGGTGTCCCCAGGCCATCCCCTCCCTCCCCCAACCACCCAGACTCAGTACAGGTGGGATGAATGGCATGAATGCACGCTGATGGCAATCTCCAGACCACTGACCAGAGAGAAAAAATGCAAATAAACCCTGCAGGTGGCCCTGCCTTTAGGAAAAACTCAGGCAGCAAAAAGGCCAGCAATGTGAGATCAGAAAGAAATCGTAGAATTCAGGAAAGCATTTAGGATAAGCATCCACTAGGAAAAGCAAACCTCTATTCAACATTGATTCTGTTCATGTGCCACCTCCTTCAGGAAGCCCTCCCTGACGCCACACTGGGTGGGTGTGGGGCATCTCTGGGCCCCCTGTCCCAGGACTTACTGCATGAATTTGTCATTGTTTTCTCCAGCCAGGGAGCTCCTCAAAGGCCCAGTCTGCCTCCGAGTCCTCTCTGTGGCCCAGTACCAGCTCAGCTCATGGCTGGAGGTGCCAGGGCTCGGGATGTGTGTGTGGGATAAATGAATGGGTGAGTGAATGAATGAATCCCCACCAAGTCCTTGGGGGACAAAAGGTTGAGAAACCTGGACAGGACTCTCACAGGAGGAAATACCTGTGGTGGTCAGCTGGGCATAGCCCCAAACGTGCTCACAACCCTCACATGTGGTCAGACTCCCCATCTTGACGCCCTCCTCCCACAAGGACAAGCAGGGGCATTTGCCCTGTCTACCCACTGGGGGGACGGTGCCTCCCAGGCTGCCCGTGGGTGCCCCACAGGCGAGTCCACCCTCGTCAGCTGGGGCCTTGGAATCAGGCGGCTCCACCCCCCATGCAGCCGTGAGATTAAAAGATGCTTGCTCCTTGGAAGGAAAGCTATGGCCAATCTAGTGACGTGAAATCGCTCAGTCGTGTCCGACTCTTTGCGACTCCGTGGACTGCAGCCTACCAGGCTCCTCCATCTGTGGGATTCTCCAGGCAAGAACACTGGAGTGGGTTGCCATGTCCTCCTCCAAGAGATTCTCCCAACCCAGGGATCGAACCCGGGTCTCCCGCACTGCAGGCAGACGCTTTACCGTCTGGGCCACCAGGCAAGCTCAAGCAAAAACATCCCTTTGCCAACAAAGGCCCATCCAGTCAAGGCTGAGGTTTCTCCAGTGGTCACGTGTGGATGTAAGAGTTGGACTGTGAAGAAAGCTGAGCGCCGAAGAATTGATGCTTTTGAACTGTGGTGTTGGGGAAGACTCTTGAGAGTCCCTTCCAACCAGTCCATCCTAAAGGAAATCAGTCCTGAGTGTTCATTGGAAGGACTGATGCTGAAGCTGAAGTTCCAACACTTTGGCCACCTGATGCGAAGAGCTGACTCATTGGAAAAGACCCTGATGCTGGGAAAGATTGAGGGCAGGAGGAGAAGGGGTCGACAGAGGATGAGATGGTTGGATGGCATCACCGACTCAATGGACATGGGTTTGGGTGGACTCTAGGAGTTGGTGATGGACAGGGAGGCCTGGCGTGCTGCAGTTCATGGGGTCGCATAGAGTTGGACTTGACTGAGTGACTGAACCGAACTGAACTGAATCCCCAGTAAGGAAATGTGACTACCACCATTAGTTTAACTAATCATATAGTCAGTGTCGGGGGTTTAGAATGCCAAACAGGGCTTTCCTGGTGGTCCAGTGGTTAAGAGTCTGCCTTGCAATGCAAGGGACACAGTTTTGATCCTTGGTTCAGGAAGATCCCACGTGCCGTGGAGCAACTAAGCCCATGTACCAGAACTACTGAGCCTGCTCACCTAAAGTCTGTACTCCATAACAAGAGATGCCACTGCAATGAGAAACCCATGCAGTGAAACTGTAGAGTAGCCCCCACTTGCCACAACTAGAGAAAATCTGCGCACAGTAGTGAAGACCCAGTGTAGTCAAAATAACTAACTAAATATGTATGTGTGAATTGCTCAGTTGTGTCTGACTATTTGCAACCCTATGGACTGTAGCCTGCCAGGGTCCTCTGTCCGTGGAATTTCCCAGGCAAGAATACCGGAGTGGGTTGCCATTTCCTTCTCCAGGGATTTTCCCNACCAGGCTCCTCCATCCATGGGATTTTTCAGGGAAGAGCACTGGAGTGGGCTGCCATCGCCTTCTCCACTTTAACAGTGTACACGCTGTCATTTGTCATTTACATTCCCAGAGTTTTGCAGTAGAGATATCTCATGGCATCCTTGACAAGCCAGCCTGAGCTCTCCAGGTCTTCCTGCCTTTGTCCCACCCTGACCTCTGCCTCCTGCTTGCCCCCCACCCCAGTAAACCCCCGCCTCTGACACAGGGGCACCCCCTACTCTATCAGGCGCCCGGGCACTCCTGCACCCTTCTGTACCCTCCTCCCATCACCGCAGCTCAGCCCTGAACTGACTTTCTCCCACTTAATTCTGACAAGTTCTCAAATTCGAAGCCTAAGCAAACGGCTTGCCAACAGTGGCCACTCTGAATACCTTACGGTCAGTTTCTACAAAATACATCTCTCTGTTTCACCAGGTCTATTAAATCTAATAAGCTGGGGCCGAGGGTGGGGGTGGTTTCTGTAATAAATGGATAGGCGGTGACCTTTAAGAGAGTTTAGACATATCTCACTAGTTTTAGTGAAACAGAAATATTACAACACAATAAATCTCTTTTGCCCTTTTCAAAATTCCTGGTTTCTTGCATATTATTAAAAAAAAAAAAAAAGCCAGGATTTTAAACCAGGGTGCAGGTGAGAAGGATTAATGTCTTTGTCCAGAGCAGTAGCTGGGAGGGGTTTGTTGAGTGGGAGGTTCAGAGGTGCAAAAGTCGACCTGAAAATAGAGCTTCTTCCATCGTCAGGAAGGGGAGACACAGACAAAAATTTAGTACATTTTCTTAAGCGTTTAAGGTAGAGATTGCCACTCCATGAAGCTGGCAGACCACATGAGGCTTTTTTTTTTTTTCCTGGGAAGAAAGAAACAGCAGTGCAGAGGGGGTCCGAGCCTCTCCCAGGGCGGAGCGCTTGCATTTCACTGCACTGCCCAGGTGTTGGGCCATCAGCCACCCTGCTCCGTGGGACGCCCTTCGGATGGCAGCCCCCACCCCTCTAGTCTGAGACTCTGAGTCGCATGTTGGGGTAGCGCTGACGGTGGCCCTCGCAGTGTGACGCCCTCAGCCCAGGGGGCCATTTCCTGCATAACTGCTGTCTCCTGCTTGTTGTCATCTTCCTGTTTTCCTTTCCTCAGGCCGCACTGAACATCAGATCATTACCCCGTGGATGTGCCCGAGGCACCCCTCGCCACACTCACCGTGCCCCCCCAAACCTGCTCCTCCCGTTTCTCCTTCCTCTCCCAAGTCTCTGCCGCCCACCCAGCAGCGGTCCCTGCAGGGCCCCAGGCCTGCTCTGCGGCCCCCACATCCTGCGCTCGGGGAGCCTGCGTGTGGCTTCCTGCACGGACAGCGCCTCCACCCCAATGAGTCGCATGTTGGGGTAGCGCTGACGGTGGCCCTCGCAGTGTGACGCCCTCAGCCCAGGGGGCCATTTCCTGCATAACTGCTGTCTCCTGCTTCTTGTCATCTTCCTGTTTTCCTTTCCTCAGGCTGCACTGAACATCAGATCATCACCCCGTGGATGTGCCCAAGGCACCCCTCGCCACACTCACCGTGCCCCCCCAAACCTGCTCCCCCCCAGTTTCTCCTTCCTCTTCCAAGTCTCTGCCACCCACCCAGCAGCGGTCCCTGCAGGGCCCCAGGCCTGCTCTGCGGCCCCCACACCCTGCGCTCGGGGATCCTGCATGTGGCTTTCTGCAGGGACAGCACCTCCACCGCTGGCGGTTATTCCGTTTGGGTTGACGTTCAGGGTAATCTGAGTGCAGGGAGACGTGTCAGACCACGAATCCTCCAGCAGTGGCTGCTGCAAGAATAGCAGGAGGTGGGGGCCAGCCGGGCCTGGGCCCTCTTTTCCCTGATGGCGACGTAACTCCTAAAGGGAGCGGTGTCCGGCCGCTCAGCCCGGGGCAGACACAGCAGCATGTCTCAGAGCTCCTCTGGGAAGGACGGGGCGAGACCAGACCCGTGTCTGGGGGTCCCGGCGCAGTGAGCCCCACCCTGCCACTTTACCTGCCGCCAGGTGTGGCCGCAGTCCGACGTGATGTACATTTCCTCTTTATATTCCACCAGCTGGGAGCCCAGGTTACCTGGTCCGGAAGAGAAGAGATGGAGCTGCTCTTAGGACTGGCATGCTCCCCCTGACCGAGGTCTGAGCACAGCCAGGGCCCCGAACCAGGGCTGGTGGTGGATAGGCCCTGGGTCTACGCCACCAAAGCCACCAAGGGATGCGCCTTCCGCCCTCCGGGTACCGACAGGCCTGCTGTCACCACACGGGCCCTCGTCTGCGCGGTCAAGGGTTAGCTTTGCCCAAAGAAAGCTGGCCTCAGGCACCTCCGGCAGAGCCCAGGTGCAGGCAGAGCGTGGGGGCCTCAGGAGACACACGGGTGAGGAGCGGGGTTCCGGAACAAGAAGCATGTCTGGGGACCACGCGGGCCAGGTGAGCGGCATGTGGACCCGGCAGTCGTGATGGGCTTTAAAGTGGGGCAGGACATGGCTGGCTTTGCGTTTGGAGGTAGCCCCCTGGGGGATGGGTAGAGAGGAGGCCAGAGGCAGCTCTGGGGCAGCGTGAGGCCGTCCAGGTGCGAGGCTGGGCAAGCACATAGTAGGTGCTCACTAAGTGCCAGTCAAGGGGCCGTTTGGAGGACGGGGAAGTGGGCACCAAGCCAGCTGGGCAGCCAAGAGGCTCCTCCTGGGTCCTGGTTCACCTGCCCCTACACCAGGCTGGCGGGTGCGTCACCAGCCTTGACGGGGCCACTCTGCGGGGCTAGGACTTAATCTGGGGGTGCTGGCGGAGGGGGGAGGAACCCCCACTTAGTATCCAAGGTGACTCCAGTTTGAAGATGAGGAGGCTTGGCTGAGTGGAATCCAACAGGAAGAACGTTGGTCTCCTAGAGGACACAGCTCCAGGACCGTCTTGGAGGCCTCGAAGCTGGGCTGGGTGACCCCAAACAGCCTCCTGGGAAGGGGCTCGGACAGCAGAATTTTCTGACATGTCAGATTTCACAGGCTTCTGCTGTGACCACATGGTGATAGCGGGGGAATCAAGGACCTGAGCTTCCTTCCAGGATGAAGGGGCCTTGCTTTGAGGACACGGTAGCCCTTCCGGATTCTTCCTGGAACCCCAGAGGCCCCTGACCTCTGGCGCCTAACCAGAGGCCCCTGACCTCTGGTGCCTGATTCACGTGGTGCCCTCAGAAGCGCCTCCTCCAGAGCCAAGTGTAGATGTCACTGGAAAATCCCAAGGGAGAGGGGTCGTTCTCAAAAAGACGAGGCAAAGCCAGTTCAAGCAGAGTGGCTGAGGACTTGTGTGCCTGCCTTTTTCTTTTGAGGTCCAACCAACAACCAAATCATCCATCCATCCTTCATCAATTTATTATCCAGCCACCCTTCATTAATTTATTATCCATCCATCCATCCTTCATCAGTTTATTATCCATCCACCCTTCATTAATTTATTATCCACCCATCCATCCTTTATCAATTTATTATCCATCCATCCTTCATTAATTTCTCATCCATCCATCCATCACCAATTTATTATCCATCCAGCCTTCATTAATTTATCACCCATCCATCATCCTTCCATCCCCTCATCTCTTCATCAATTCCACCCCCTCCCCCTCCCCGGCACTTATCCATCAGCATCTGCTCTCTCCCCAGCCTTGTGCTAAGCTGTAGGGGGTGCCAGCTGGGCAACCACGGCCCTGGCTCCCAGGGACCTGTATGCCTAGCCAGGGAAGAAGGATGCCCTGCAAATGGGGCAGGGCGGAGGATGCCTGGGACCCCAGGGAACCGTGAAAGCAGAGAGCGGAAACCTCATGGACCCACACAGCAGGGGAATCCAGGAGAGATTCCTGCAGGAAGCGACCTCTGCCCCTTGCCTCGAAAGACAAATGCCACTGGCCAAGGGAAAGGGGCAGGTGTGCCAGGCAGTGGTCTGGGCCTTGGCAACGGCAGTGAGGTGGGAGGGGCGGTTGGTCAAGGGAGGGGGGCAGAGGGGCAGCTTCTGAGGTGGGTTCCCTTCTACCCGCCCAGCCACTGCAAGGCGCTAAGGAGAAGCTGCTGAACGCAGTCAGAGGGGTATCATCCTTCCATCCCCTCGTCTCTTCATCAATTCCACCCCCTCCCCCTCCCTAGCACTTATCCATCAGCATCTGCTCTCTCCCCAGCCTTGTGCTAAGCTGTAGGGGGTGCCAGCTGGGCAACCACAGCCCTGGCTCCCAGGGACCTCTACGCCTAGCCAGGGAAGAAGGATGCCCTGCAAACGGGGCAGGGCGGAGGATGCCTGGGACCCGTGAAAGCAGAGAGGGGAAACCTCATGGACCCACAAAGCAGGGGAATCCAGGAGAGATTCCTGCAGGAAGCAACCTTTGCCCCTTGCCTCGAAAGACAAATGCCACTGGCCAAGGGAAAGGGGCAGGTGTGCCAGGCAGTGGTCTGGGCCTTGGCGACGGCAGTGATGTGGGAGGGGCGGTTGGTCAAGGGAAGGGGGCAGAGGGGCAGCTTCTGAGGTGGGTTCCCTTCTACCCGCCCAGCCACTGCAAGGCGCTAAGGAGAAGCTGCTGAACGCAGTCAGAGGGGTGACTGAAGGAAGGCAACAGCTGGGGGTGGGGGGTGGGCAGAGGAAGGAAGGGGCGCCCTTTATCTCCACCCCACCCTGTCCTTCCAGACACCAACAGAGACGCCAGGACCTCTGCATCCAATACCGAAGCCGTGCAGCCAAGGCCGTGGCATCAGCACAACCTCACAGGCAAATTTGCTGTCCATGGTTTTGGGGGAGTGATGTCTGTCTTTTAAGTGATGCGATCTGTTTTCCTTGTTTCATCTACCAAGGCTGTCAGGCTGCCACTCACCTAACAGGCACCGGGGGTGGGGGGAATCAGGGAACATTCAGAGAACATGTCCACAGGCCGTCAGAGCGAAGGGCTCTGCAGGAGCTTGGGGGACAGGGCCTTCACGTTAGGGAGGGGAAACTGAGGCCCAGGGGACGTCCCCGGTGCTGCGTCTCCTCTCGGCTGCTCTGGGCTCTCCTTGGGCCTCCTCCCCCAATAGCCCGGCCCCTCTGCGTTGTGTCCATGCTCCTGGGGCCTGGTATACAGTAAGCGCTCCCTGAATGCGCATTTCCTTTCTGACCTTCCTTGGCCTGCAGCTTGCAGAGTGGCCAAGACCTCAGGGCCCGAACAGAGCAGAAGAGTAACACAAGATCCACCCCAGTCCTCTCCTGGCTGAGGAGGAGGATGACCTGGACGCCCCATGCGGCCCGCCCCTCGATGTGGCAGAACAAGGCCTGCCAGCCGCTGAGACGAGGCTGGGCTAGAGGCCAGGGGGCTGCCCCACTGGTCCTCTGCTCGCTGCTGGGGGCCCGGCTCCAGGGGGGCCGGGTGACCCCCCTCCAGCCTGGCTGGTGGGGCTCAGGTCAGTTCTCGACCTGCTCAGACCCCTCAACCTGACGTCGGGACACCACCCGGCGGTTGATGGACCTCCGGCTGGCCGAGTCCCCGAGGAAGGGGCTGCAGGAGGACTGGGGAGACAGGGCTCCTACTGGGAGCCCCGGGGGCTCTTCCCGGCACAGCGAGGGTGGAGGTGCTCCAAGCCCCCCGTCATGGCCCCTCAGGGTTTTCCCGGCCACAGGACTCCCCCGGAGCTGTGTCCAGGAGGTGTCTGCAGACTTTGCTCTGCGTGGCCCTGAGGATTCACCTGCTGGATGCAGCATGTGCTGCGTGGGGGGCCCAGGACCCGGCAGGGCGGCTCCGGGAGGCGCATTGCCTGCCCTACAGCAAGAACTCGGGAAGGGCCGAGTCTGAACCGGACCGGTGCCCTCAGTCCAGACCACGCATCTGTGGTTTCCTGCATCCTTAGAAGCTCATCCCCTTGACGTGGCCCAGCCAGGGCAGAACATTCCAGCTGGCACCCTGGCCTGCTGGGTTTATTTCTGGGTTCATCCTCTGAGGCTGCTTCTCGACCCTGGTGGTTAGAAGCCAGTGTTTCTGTCTTTGCTTCTTGAATTCTCCTTTCCTGACCTCACTGNTCCTTAGAAGCTCATCCCCTTGACGTGGCCCAGCCAGGGCAGAACATTCCAGCTGGCACCCTGGCCTGCTGGGTTTATTTCTGGGTTCATCCTCTGAGGCTGCTTCTCGACCCTGGTGGTTAGAAGCCAGTGTTTCTGTCTTTGCTTCTTGAATTCTCCTTTCCTGACCTCACTGGAGTCACCGCTGTGGGTCTGGCCTCTCGTCCACAGGCCCGGAGGACAGGGTCCCAGCAGAAGGCGCCTGGCGTGGAGCCTGGCACAAGGGCAGTGGCGTCCAGGTGCCGTCTGAGTGATAGGGAGAGCTGCAGAAACATGCCTGGCATCTGCCGAACGCCGGAGAGGTCATTCTCTCTTTCTGCAGATGAGGACGCTGAGGTTCGGAGGCACCAGTGATGCCCAGAGCCAAGCACCTCGAGGCGGCAGAAGCAGGGGCGTGTGGCACCCCTGCCTGTCCCAGGATGAGGGGTGAGTGATGGGAGATCTGCACAGAGGCGCCCTGGAAGCAGACCCCCCCAGCTGCCTCCGGCGGCTTAGCCCAGACGGGGCCCTCATTTGGACCCACTGCTCCTGCTACATTGCCCAGCCCACAGGGGAGGCCACCAGTGGGAAGCTGGTCCCTGCTCAGCAGTGGCGGAGGGGCCTGAGGAAGCCCAGCTCACTCCACCTTCCCTCTCTGGTTCTCTGTTCCCAGCAGACACCCAGGGCTGGATGGAGGATGTAAAACAATTCACACCTCGGTTGGCACACATTGTATGGATGACTCCACGTCCATCTCGGGAAAGCTGTGGTGAGGTTAAAAGCCTCGGAATGAAGTAGCAATGCAGCATCCTGCCCCTGGGGCGGGGGGCAGTGAGCGGAGGGACGGAGGGGCAGAGGGAGGCGGCCACCCACGCCCTGCGCTCCCCCTTCTGTGACTCACACGGTGAAGCGAAGCTCCTGCAGATCCTCGCAGCTTCCCTGGAGGCTGGAACGCTTGTCCTGAGCTTTCAAAGACTTTGAGTGCTGGGAACATTTGAAACTGTGCCTTTTGCACCTTTGGTCAAGAATTTGAGGTTTCAAGCCTTCACGGACGTGCATTTTAAATACACCGCTGCCTTTGGGTCCAGGGACCTGAGTCCACAAGGCCTAGGGTGCCTGATACACGTGGCCTGACCCCCTCTCTGTGTGGGAGCTGGCGCCCCACGAGCGGCATTGAAATCGAGGTTGATTCGCGTTCTTCCCATTGACACTCTTCCCTCATGGAAGCAGGCGGACCCCGCCCCAGTGGCCGCCACTGACTAAGACCCCTGGGGCATGGACGGGCAGGAGGAGGCCCAGGAGCTGGAGCTTTTCCTTGCCGTCATCTGTCTGGTTGTGTCACTCGCCCCTCACTGCAACGCCCCCCTCTCCAGGATAACGTGAGATGCCCGCCCTGACCGCCAAGGCCTCCTGCCTTCTGAGGTGCACACGCCCACAGGGGTCTCGCCTCCCGGCCTCCTTGTGGCTCTGATCGGGCCATTCTGAGAAACATAGTCCCTCCTCTGTCCGGAAGGACGGCCCTGCCGCCTCCACATGGCCACTCGCTCATTCATTCACTCTCATTCACTCACTCACTCACTCACTCACTATCCATTCATTTACTCACTCATTCCTTCACTTACTCAGCCACTCATTCATCACCTCATTCACTCATTCATTACCTCACTCACTCATTCATTCACTCACTCATTCACTTATTCATTTACTCACTCACTCATTCACTCATTAACTTACTCACTCCTTCATTCACTCACTCATTCACTCACTCATTCACTTATTCATTCATTCATTATCTCACTCACTCATTCATTCACTCAGTCATTCACTTATTCATTCACTAACTCATTCACTTACTCATCATTTACTCATGTGCTCACTCTCATTCCTTCACTCATTCATCACTTACTAATTCACTCACTCATTAGCTTACTCACTCATTCATTCACTCTCTCACACACAGCCAGGCTGGGATACATCTGCCGAAGGGTCAGATGCATCATCCAGCTCAGGGTCTGGGGTCCAAACTCTCCAGGCTGCAGCTGGTGCTGGAGCAGAAAGAGGAAAAGAGCCCCGGGTTCAGGCAGCCATGAACCCTGGCCCGGGCCTTGGCGGTCCCTGCTCTGTGACGGGGCAGAGACACTGTCTCTCTGACTGCCACGCGCCCCATCCACACCTGGGTGCGCACAGCCCCAGCCTGGCCCTTCCACCCCCAGGACCAGTGGCTGGCTGGTGCGCCCACCCCAGAGTCTTGCTCTCTGCCATTTCAAGGGACACAGCAGTCCTCCCAGGGCAGCGGACTTCCTTTTCCAGAGGAGCCTGGGGTGGGTCTCAAGCTTCAGGAGGACACCTTGCAAGTTGCGAGCAAGTCTTCCCTCTCCTTGGGTTCGTTACCTCCTCTGTAAAGGGAGGGTGCTGACCTCTCAGGGTTATCGTTATTTTGAGAGGAGTTCAGGGCCTGGCAGGGGAGAAACGGCCACCATGGCAACCGTGGACAGTGTCAGGGCTGAGCTGCTGAGAGCTGGTGGGGCTGTCCCCTCTCTGAAGGGTGAAAGGGAAGCCAGACGCCAGCCGCTGCCTGGCAGTGGACTTTTAAAACATGTGATTTTATTTGCAATGATTCTTCTAACTCACATAAACCTTATTTTAGAGTTTTATCCAATCGGCACACATTTAGTGACCCCTGAAGAAGTTTCTAGTTTAATGGGGTAGACAGACACAATCACAACATGCTTTTTTTCCCCCTTATGCCAGTTGTATATTTGTCTCTTTATCTCCCCGCTAGAAACTTCTTTAGGGACCAATCACTGTCAACCAAGATACAGATTATCATTCCATCCATTCACCCATCCATCCTTCCATGTATTCATTCACCATTTTGTTTTACATCCTTCCATTGGGCCATCTGACTATTATTCTTTCAACTATTCAAGTATCCTTTGACCCATCCTGCCACCCATTCATCCTTCCATCCATCCACCCATCCATCCATCCATCCATCCATCCATCCATTCTTCCATCAGTCCATCCATTCATCGATCCACCCATTCTTCCATTTGTCATCCATCCATCAATCCATTCATCCATCTATCTATCAATCCATCCATCTATCCATTCTTCCATTAGTCATCCATCCATCTATCCATTCTTCCATTAGTCATCCATCCATCTATCCATCTTTCCATCCATCTATCCATCTTTCCATCCATCTATCCATCCATCCTTCCATCCATCCATTATTCCATTGGTCATCCATCCATCTATCCATCTTTCCATCCATCCATTATTCCATTGGTCATCCATCCATCTATCCATCTTTCCATCCATCCATCCATCCATCTATCCACCCATCCTTCCATCCATCCATTATTCCATTGGTCATTCATCCATCCATCTATCCATCCACCCTTCCATTCATCCATCCACTCATTCTTCCTTTGGTCATCCACCCATCAATCCATCCATCCACCCATTCTTCCATTAGTCATCCATCCTTCCATCCTTTCTTTCATCCACTCATCCATCCGTCCATCCATCCATTCATTTAGTTAACACCTATCACGTGCCCACTCTGGACGGCACAGACATCCCTCGGGGGGAGGTGCCAGGAGACCTGGGCTTCCTGGGGATGCTCTGGCACTGGCCCAGTGGACACAGTGTGGCCCCAGGCCTGTGACCGTCAAGTCCCCCCCTGAGACTGGAGCTCCACGCGGGCGGTGCAGCTCCCGTGGTCTCCTACCTGCGCCCATGATGAGGCCGGGCGCGCTGTCCTTCGTGTGCACGGTACCCGACACGTAGGGGTTGTCCGCCCAGCGCAGATGCAGGTGCAGGTGGCAGTCCGGCTGTGGGGGAGAGAGGGGGTCGCGGTCAGCACCTGGGAGGGAGCAGCGACCCGAGAAAAAGCAGGACCCAGGCAGAGCACAGCCCCGTGGCTTCTGGGCGGGAAGGCAGGGCCAGGGTGTTTCAGAGGAAAGGGAGGGGGGTGGGGAGGAGGCTTGGATAACCCCTGGGTGCAGGCCTCAGGTCGGGGCCAGGTGGGTTTCTCCAGGGGCGGGGCCTCTCGGCCTGGGTGCAGAAGGGCGGGCTCCCCAAACAGGCTCCTGAGCGCAGGGCTGGGCCACAGAATGGGACTGCAGAAGCCTGCATGGCCTGTGGCTACGTTCATTCATTCATCCACCCAGAGCCTTTATTGGGGGCCTCTGAGGCGACCATGGGCATCAGGGGACAGCTGTGGGCAGCCTGTAAAGTGCGTCCTCTGGGGGAGGCAGGCGGTACAGTGGGTGTCTGAGCGCCCAGTTTACTCTCGAACATCGGCAGGACCTTGACGCTGCCTGGCTGGTGCCGGGCTGATGGGCAGAAACACTGGCTGTTGGAAGAATTCCAGTGCCCCTCACGTTGCTTGGTGGCTACCTCTGGGCCAGCCCCGAGCCACACACTTAACGGTGCATGTCACGGAGCACTCTCAGCATCCGTACTACCATCCCCTCTGTGTTGATGGGGAAACCGAGGCAGGGTGTGTTTAAGCAACTTCTCACAGCTGGGGCTGGGGCCGCAGCTGGGGCTGCCTGGTTCCAAAGTCCACAGTGTGAGCCCTGCAGGGAGGACGGGGGTGGTCTGGCACTTCCAGGCAAACCAGGCCAGCGGCCCCCAGAACGAGGAAGCACCAGCTGTTTCTTGTCCAGCGTCATCAGACTGCCCATCTGTCTTTGCCCCAGCTGCCTGCCCCCCGCCCCCACTACTCTGCTGAGATGGTAGAGGCCAAGCCAGCTCCCTGGGGTGGGACTGGGGGCCCCAGGGGTGTAGATGAGCTGAAAGGATGTATCCTCTGGACTGACCCTCCTGAGTCTCCCCGGGCCTCAGTGACTTAAGCCCACAAGCCCCACGACCCGCAGGGGCCCTCAGCACCTGCACATATGATGGGAGGGGATGCACGGAGCGCCAGGCTGCTCTCGGGGTGCAGAGTCAGACATGGTGGGGTCCGCCAGGGCCACCGAGGGCACAGGTGGAAAGACCTCAAGGGCAGGCAGGTGACAGGGGAGAGTGGGCCTGGGTACCTGCCGGGCCTGGGTGGGTGTGACAGACTGAGGGGGCAGGACCATGCTGCCCCAAGGCTCTCCTTTCTTGGCCCCTCCACACACGGGGGCTGGCTGGTGCGCTAAAGGAGTGTCCATCAGAGACTGTCGGCTGGCGGGAAGGCCACGCTGTTGGCCGCTGCAAGCAAGGGCACCTGTCCCTCTATGTACCCCGCCGCTCAGCTCAGCCCAGTGTCTGAGAAGAGTGGCCACAGATAGCAAAACGAACAGGTTTTCATCCTGAGTCCAAAGGTCAGGAGAGGTAAAACTACCTCCAAGGGCAACTGATCACCTAAAACAGGTCTGATCCATGCCTGTCTATTAACAAGGCCCCTTCAGAACTTGCTGTCTGGCTCAAGAAGCTCCACGGGGCTCTGTATCAGCCTAGACAGGTGGGATGGGGAGGGAGACAGGAGGGAGTTTCAGCAGGGAGGGGGTATATGTACACCTGTGGCTGATTCCTGTTGAGGTTTGACAGGAAACAACGAAGTTCTGTAAAGCAGTTATCCTTCAGTTAAAAAATAAATTAAAAAAAAAAAAGCCCCCTTCATTTCCCCGTCACTAGAAAGCAATCTTCCCAGCCAGAGAGCTTGTTGTATGACCCAGGAAAATCTTTCTGACCCAGAGTCAAAAGAAAAGCAGATGACTCAGAAATCCCACATGTCGGGAGCCCCAACGGGGCTTTTTAATGTGACTATAAGCAAAGGATGCGAAAGAAAAATGTCTGACGCCGTCACTTCTGAGTGACGCAGTTGCCGGTGTAACTTATTCCCCTTTCTGTACATTTCTGCATTTTCCAGGTACTCTGCAATAAGCAGGGGTCACTTTTCTGATGAGAAGTAAAACCTTAAGTGTAGCCTGCGCTGTGCATCGAGAGTTTGCGTGGCTGAGTGAAGGACACAGGCAGAAAGGAGACCCAGGAGGAGGGCCGCTCTGACACCGCCCCGCACACCCCACGGGGCCCCGCCCACGGCCGCCAGGGCTGCACATGCCGGGGATGGCCGGGGAGCCGAGGCCGCGGCTTCTGCCTTTCATGCCCAGCTGGGCGTCCTGATGCTTGTCCTCCCTCCGCTGTGCTCATCGGGGTCTTGGCCTGACTGCCTGTGGCCACGTGCTTACTAGCTGGCTCCCACTTTTATTATTTTAAGGCCGGGGCATAAATCTTGAAAGGTTATCTCCTTACTGAGCTGCATAATTGCAGACAAGAATCTATTCTTAGCGAAAACTTGCTTTGACAGATTAATATGGCTTAACTTTGTCGACGATGATACAAAAATTAGCCCTTTCACAGCAATTCTGTTCTCAGAAGCACTTTTACAAGTGGCAGGTAATTAATTCTCCCCGTAGGTCGACAGGTGCTATTATCCCTTGCTGCTAGCAGGAGGGGGGCTTATGCAGAGGCCGAGCGTAGCCCCCTAGTTGGTGAGGTCAGGGAGAGAGGACCTGAGGCTCTTCCCAGAAGGCACAGAGCCCCACCCTGGTCCTGGGGGGTGGTCACTGGATGGTCAGGTGGGGTGCCTACCATCTTGACGGGCCCTGCAGAGATCCAGGCAGGTCCCAAGAGGGCAGAATTGCTTGCTGTTTTGTGTATTGATGTATTCCCAACACCCAGAAGAGTGCCTTTCCATAGTAGGTCCTGGTACATGTTTGCTGAATGAATATTCCTGTAATATAGGCACCATCGCACTTTCTGTTTGCAGAGGCAGAGCGATGGATGGGGGCCCCTGGCTGTGAGGAGCTTCCAGCTGAGGCTAGTGGGAAACAGAAGCATGTGTGCCCAGTGAAGGCTTCTCTGTAGAGGGGACATGTAGACAGGGTTTTCAGGTGTCAATAGGAGTTCACTGAATGAAGAGGAAAAGCCTTCTCCACCCCTAAGGCAGACAAGACAGGGGGGCAGCCTACACTCTTATTCATGTAGAAAGGCACCTTTGGAAGATCAGGGTCAGCTTGGAGCTCATGAGATTTGGACCATGTCCTGGCCCCATCACTTATCCAGCCCCCAACCCCTACTTCCACAGGCAGAGTGTACTGCTTGACCCTTGCCACTGGCCAACAGGACTTAGCAAGTGTAGCAAGCAAGCTATAAGCTTGCAACATTGTTGCAATGTTTCTCCTCGCCCTCCTGCACGCCTGCTGTTGCCAGAGAGTGTGCCTGGGCTGGTCCCAGGAGGAGGATGCTGGATCCCTTCCTAAATCATAACCCCTAGGTGTGTGAGCGAGCCCAGCCTCTCACAGATCTGAAAACGAGTGACTGCTGTTTGGGGTGGTTTGTTACACAGCATTGTTGTGACCAGAGCTGACCGATACACTCCCCTATCTGATCTCTTCAGTAAAGCAGGGAGTTTCTTACTGCCTTCTCCACCACACCCAGAGAAATAGGTGGTTCATGGCTCTCAGATGGCCCTTCTCAGATGTCAGCATCTCTAACCCCTGGATCCTGCAGTTACGTCCGGGTCCCGCCCCAGGGAAGGTGTGTGCAATGAGCCGGACACTTACAGGCTTGCAGTTGGTTGGTTTCCCGTTCATGTCCGTGCTGGGAGGCCTCAGATAATCCCAGTCTCGACCCTTGTTGTAGGTGATGAGCGTCACCACCTTCCCGTTGACTTTCTGGTTCGCCAGGAAGACTCCTTTCACCCCTCGGACCTGGGACAGAAGCACAAGAAGGATGGTAAATGCCTGCCCGGCCCCTTGTGAGGGCTCTGTGTGCCTGGCCTCGTTTGGCCCTGACCACAGCTTTGAGCCGAGGCTGACTGTACACCCTGGAGGTGAGTGGGGCTCTGGGCACAAGGGAGCAGAGATGCAGTCTGAGGTCTGGCTGGGAGATGGTGCTGTCTGACCCCACTTGCCAAGTGCATTTCATGACACCGAGCTGTCCTCCCAGGTCCAGCCACTGTCAGACAGTGAGCAGAGCCTTGGTCCTTAACATGCATGTGCATCTTGGTCACCCCATCTTTAGCCGGGGCTCCTGACTCAGAGTCCCAGTCCCCAGCCTCCTTCCCAGGGGACCCACAGGGCCTGGGCCAGTCGAGTTGCTCTGGGCTTCCCTCCGGGGACTTTGTCAGCTCAGCCCCATAGGAGGTTGCCACAGGAGGTTGACGATGGGGTCCATGCTCGTCCCAGCCTGCCCTGAACAAGGGTCAAAGTTCCCCAGGCTCCCTTTCTCAGGGTTCCTGGGGGGCCCCAGGGAGGTGACCCCCACACATGCCATTATCAGTCACTGAGTCGGCTCATAAGACATGGTCAAGCATCAGTAGTTCCCAGTTGTTCAACCTCCTGGTTCTACAGAGATGAATTTTTCTGGCAAGTTTCTTGGGTGTGGAGGCCTGGGACCCAGTAACTGAGGCCTGTTAGTATGGCCTGAGTTCCTTGGAGCCCCCATGGGCCCGAAGCAGCCTTTGCTGCTCTATAAATAGCATGAACCCAGGGCAACTGAGGCACAGTTACAAGATTTATCTGGAGTTCCCTGACCAGAGGTGACGCTCAGGGCAACGGTGATATTCACAGTAAGTGCCTTCTACGTGGCACTCAAGGGGGTTAATAAAGTGCCACTGCATTAAATTCTCAGACTCCACGAGGTCGGTGCCTTCCTAGGCCTCCAATGCAAGGGCCCGACAGGCGGGGAGCAGGCCGGGGAGGGACCCGAAGACTCTGACGCAGAGTGAATGGAGTATGTGTTTCCTCTGGCCTCTGCGACAGGTGACAGACGGATGGGGCTTAAACTACACAAGCTCGTGTGACAGCTCTAGGGGCCGAAGCCCAACAGGAGTGGGTCCCACGGGCTGAGAGCAAGGTGCTGGGGGCCGGTTCGTCCTGGAGGCTCTGGGGAGGCGCTGGGTCCTTGCCTTTCCCAGCGTCTAGAGGCACCCGAGGGGCTTGGCTTGCTGCCCTTCCTCCATCTTCAGAGCCAGTGGTGCAGCAGCTCCCTGGCCACTCCTCCATGATTCCGCGTGTTTTTCTGATTCCTTCTGCTCCTTCCGCTCGCGAGGACCCCTGAGATTGCAGTGGGCCTCATGGAAAACACTGGAAACTCTTCCCATCTTCTGACTGCCAACTCCATCCCCTTTGGCCTGCATCTTCTGCTAGGAGGCTTCTGTCTGGGGTGGGGATGGGGGTCTGGCCCTCACTCCACAGATGATGTTTCAGGGCGGTCTTTCTGGGGCACGACCGAGGGACAGGAGGACCACGACCCCTTCTCTCTCACTTGTGGTGATGTCACTCTGTCTCGGGCCCATTTGAGCATCACTGGAGGCAGGCACCCGGCTTGCCCCATGCTGGGTCCACATGCCTTCCCTGAAGCCCCAGGGGCAGATTCGACGCTGATTTGCCTGGTGATGGCTTGACGGAAAGCACTCTTTTATATCCCAACTGGTCTCCATGAAAACACTCAGCAGTAAATAACCCAGGCCCTCCTGTTCCAGAGAGGTAGGAGCAGGCTGAGTCTCCCTGGGATGGGTCTGATCAGCTGAGCACCAGCTTCCAAAGCAGACATGCCCGCTTCACGTGCCCACCCTCCTCATGGCTGTGCTCGCTTCCAGGGGCTGACGTGACAAAGTATCACAAAGTGGGAGGCGGGGCAGGGCTCCAACAACAGAAATTCTGTTTCTTCACAGTCAGGCAGCCAGAGGTCCAGGATCAAGGCGCTGGCAGGGCGGTCCTCCCTCTGAAGTTTCTCGGAGAGGATGCTTCCTCATCTCCTCCAGCTTCAGCGGTCTCCAGGCCTCCAGCGTCTCCGCTCCGTCTGCACAGACCCTCCTCCCTGTGTCCGTGTCTCCTCTTCTGCTCCTTACAAGGACACTTGTCATGGGTTTAGGACCCGACACAAGATCATCTCAAGACCCTTCACTTAGTGACGCTGCAAAGATCCTTTTCCCAAAGAAGCTCAAGGTCATAGCTTCGATGTGGTTTTACTTTTTTTTGTGTGNTCCCATTCAGCCCATTACAATGGCTGTCTCCTAGCTGTGGTCAGGACTTCTCAGCATCAGGGTACAGGACTGGGAGAACCCTTGAAAATGTTAGTCGCTCAGTCATGTCCAACTCTCTGCGACCCCATGGACTGCAGCCCACCAGACTCCTCAGTCCATGGAATTCTCCAGGTAAGAATACTGGAGTGGGTTGCCATTGCCTTCTCCAGGGGATCTTCCCAACTTAGGGATCAAACCTAGGTCTGCTGCATTGCAGGCAGATTCTTTACCATCCTGCGCCACTAGAGAAGTCCCCATATCCCCCTTCCTAACCCAAGCTTCAACACAAGGGGGCCCCCAGAGAAGGGCTGTCATCTGGTCTAGAACCAGGACACCCGCCCCCTCACCCTGAGGAGAGGTGTGAGTCCATGGCCCCTGAAAGTCCAGGCCTCTCGGGGCAGCGTCTGCCTGTGATGTCTCAGACAAGACAGTTTTCCTGGATTGGCCATTAGATGAATGATAACCGTGGCGATAATGGAACAGGCACACATGTAGAATCTCTAGGCCAGTCCCTCCCCACACACAATCTTGAATCCCCAGAAAGGGCCATGGCTGTGAAAACTGTCGAGAGCTCGCTGAGTACTGGGCTGCTCTAAGTGTTCAGTGGAAACAGAGGCCTCCGGTTGGCACAACAACCCTCTGAGGAGGGTACTGCTGTCACCCTTGTTTCACTACGAGGGAGCTGAAGCAGAGAGAGACTAGCTAACCTCCCTGAGGTCACACAGCAAACACATATCAGAACTGGATTTGAGCCCAGGCAGCGGGGCTCCAGAGCTCTGCTCGTAACGACCACCCGAGACCCACCTTAGGTGGATTTCCGGGAAGCCAAGCCACTTAGGAGGGCCAGCTTTGGGCCTGGCCCCTGTGAGCTCCCTGCAGTCTCCATGGCCTCTCACTGCCTGGTCTTTGGCATGGATTGCTGTTTCCTGGTTCCTCACGCCTGGCTAACTTCAGCTTGGCCTTAAATCCGTCTGCATCTCTTCCTCCAGGAAGCACTCCCTGACTCCCATCTCAGATTGGTTAGCTGCCACTCACGGTGTCCTCTAGATGCTGACTCACCAGGTGGGAACCACTGGTGGGGGCTGGTCTTCCTGTAGGGTCTGGAATTCTGTGAGAGGTGGTCTACGCCTCCCTGCATCCAGTGGGTGGGGCCTGGAGCCAGGCGCGTGCCACAGGCAATACGGATGCCCGCAGAGGGCCAGGCTGTCCCTGTCTGCAGTGCCCTCATCCCGAGTCAGTGACATGCCCGTTTTGCGTGTAACTTTTAGCAAACAGCCCTAAGGCATGGACTGTGTCCAACTCAAGTAGTAAACCCACAAATGGGTTCTCATTGTAAACCAATGGTTACATTTATCACTTTCTTGGGGAAAGCAGTTCCGCGCTGCTGTTGACAACTCGGAGATGGAGGCTGCAGCCCCGGCTCTGTCCGGGATGACTGCTCCCACCCCGACTGACCCGCTCTGTCCGATCAAGGCTCGGCTGGCCACCCACGGGACACTCTCCCCAGCCCGGCAAGGACGGCAGAGTCTGGCAGGCCCACCACCGGCATCTACCATGAGGACACACTGGCCAGGGCTCCCCAAGGGAAGAGCTTAATGGTGGACAACCGAGCGAGGGGTTGCTGGCCAGGAGGGTGGACAGAGCTTGGGTCAACAGACCTAGGCTGGCCCTGGTTTTCTCACTTCCTCCCCATCTACCTGGGCAGGTTGCCTGCCCTGTCTGAGCCTCTGGTTCCTTACCTGTAAAACGGCTGAGGGAGCCCCTCCCCAGCTCTGATGTGGACAAGGATACAAGAGGTGGCCTTGAAAGGTGGGGTCCAGGTTGGGCCATGTGGGTGTGGGGCTGACATTTATGGAATCCAAGTGCATGGAAGTCAGAAGCCCCAGTTCAGAGCCTCTGATCTGATCAGATCAGCCCTTCAGCATCATGTGACAAGAGCACATTAAAGCTTAAATGGGACATAGACGGGGTGGGGCACCCCAGGGAGGGCACTGGGGGCCTGGGAAATGCAGGCAGGGAGGGCCCAACCCCCGGCCTCAGAGACAAGAGCTGCAGGGCCAGGGGAGACACAGGGAGCTAGAGAGAGCCCAGCGCAGGTGAAACACAAAACGGGGCAGAGACCAGCCCTGGGTGGGGGGAGACAGAGAGGCCAGCAATGGGAGGGGTCCCATCCTCTGTCCCTCAGCCTGTTTTCGTGCAGCGGCGTTCAAGGCATGCATGGCTTTGCAGATGACAGCTGACGAGTAAGTTGATGGTGGGGACCGCTAACCTGAACCCCAACTCAGCAAGATGTCATCCCCACAAAAGAATTCCGTTCTTCTCATGAGCAGAGTTACACAATGCTCCTTTCCTGGATTTTAAATCTCACCAGAAATATATACCTGCATGGTATATATTTTAAATCTCACCCAAAAAATACCTGCATGGTATCCTCTAGATCGGCAAAGAAAGCCTAAATTAAGGCATTTTTCAGGGTGGGAGGAGCCGGGGCGGCAGTGGGAGGAGCCGGGGCAGGAGTGGGAGGGGCCGGGCAGGGAGTGGGAGGGGCCAGAGGGGGAGTGGGAAGGGCTAGGGAAGGAGTGGGAGGGACTAGGGAGGGAGTGGAAGGGACTAGGGAGGGAGTGGGCGAGGCCGGGGCTGGGGGAGAGGCCCGCCCCCTGGAGCACACTCTAGGGGCCCCAGATGCCCCTCAGGTCCCACCTCCAGGATGTCGATGACCACGCTCTCCTCCGCCTGCCGCGAGCTGCGCACGTCCTCCAGCACCAGCGAGTAGCGCACGCCGCGCGTGTCCGACTGGTACAGGTTGTAGGTGTCGGTCTGGTACCACTCCTGCACGGCCACGAACACCTGGCTCTCGTCCGTGCTGATGACCTGCAGATCCTGGGGGCCGGGGGGAGCGGCGTCAGTGCGGGCTGGGTGCTGGTGCGGGGGACAGAAGCTGGCCTGGGGGTGGGGCGTAGTGGGGATAAAGCAGGCCCAGGGGGAGGGATGGGCAGGCCTCAGACCTGGTGGGATTGGGGGGATTGGCCACAGCCCTCTTCGCGTCAGGCTGACCTAAATTTTTCACCCCGGCTCTGCCCGCAGCGCTCTGTGGCCTTAGACAAGTCCTGTTACCTCTCTGGGCCTCCGTCCTCTCAGCTTCAAAACGGGGGTCATGTTCCCACCCTCCACATTGGGTGGGGGGAGGGTTGCCCAGGCACTGGGTGGGACTCAGTGTTACTTCTCCCCACCCCCGGCCCCTGCCATGCCGTCTGCCTGCTTGTCCCTGCAGTTAGGAGGAGGCTGAGACTCCTGCACCCCAGATCATCACCCCTGGGAGGCGGGGACGGGGCTCCGTCCAGGTCCCTCCCCGACCCCACCCTGAGGCCCAGATAAGCTACCTGTGTGTCCACTCACTCAGCATGCGTTCCCTACGTGCCTGCTGTGTGCCAGGCGCTGTGCCAGGCCCCAGGCCCCACTGGGCACCCACCCTGGCCTCTGCTCTCCGGGCTGCACCCTGGGAAGGCGGGCTGGATTAATTCGCTTCAGCCTCACGCCCAGGGCCTCCTCGATGGCCTGCTACGGGGAGCTGCCCTTTGCCCACAGTTCCTCCAGGCCAGGACACCCTGCCCTTGCCCACGGCCCCTACCCTCGCGGCGCACAGCCAACAAGGCCCGTGCAGGGCGGTGGGCGGCTCGGGGCCTGGCGGGAGCTGAGGGCAGGCGCCTGGCCAGCAGGCGGTCAGGAGGCCTGCCCTGAGAAGGTCAGCGGCCGAGGCCAAAGCCCACCTGGAGCAGGACGCTTGGCAGCTCTTGAGGGGGCCAGGCACCCCGTCTCAGGATTTGTTCCGGATTTGACAATTCAGAATAAAAAAAAAAAAAACACAGTCGAATAAAAAGGAAGAAGAAGAAACTCAGGGCTAAGCTGAGTTTCTTGTTTTCCTTTTCGCTCCCAGCCAGCGCCAAACGCTGCGTGGGAGCCACATGAAGAGGCATCTGAACAGGCCTGTTTCAAAGCCGAAACGAGCTTTTATGCCGCAGCCTCTCCAGCTTGCCTTCTATCACACCTAGACTTTTATTGCCCCTCTGGCTGCGGAGCTTCCAAGATCCAGGGGCGGAGGACAGATGGCGCAGGAGGCGGGGCAACGCTGGTCACGCGGCCAGTGCGCCCACCACGGCCAGTGTAGTTCGGGGTTCTCTTCCCTTTATAGACCTTCAATCCGGGAGAGGCCGGTGATGGCGCCTCCCCTCCTGCCTGCTCCCACCCCCACCTCCTGGTGCTGTGCAGCCATAAAAAAAGGGCTTTGCACAAAAGAGGGGGGCAGTGCCGTGAAACGCCTGCGATGCAGCTCCCTCCCAGGGACAGCGACTTGCGGGTGTGGGTAGACCCAAGCAACTCACAGCCAGGGAGGGGTTACAGAGTCAGGGTCACAGGCCTGTCGGCTCCCCCTGTGAGATGGGACAGCAGGGTGATGGGGAGTCGGAGGGCTGCGCCTGAAGCCTGGGAAGTGGGGCATCTCTGCTCCTCTTGCCCACCTCCCCTCTCCTATTTCTCCATGCTAAGCCGCGGTGTCCCGGGTATCGCTAATCCTGCAGCCCGGCACAAGGAAACCTTCCATCGGCCAGAGGTTCCGAGCTCACACAGTGCCCAGCATCAGTCACACGGGGATTGATCAGTATTTACCGCTATTACCTTCATTCTGACTTTGTCTCCCCCACACCCAGGTAAATGTTTACAAAACCTGAGTAAATGTTTACTAGAATTTGGGAAACAAAGGAAAATGTGTGAAGGGACTAAAAGTCGCCTGTAGTGCTGCTCCGAGAGAGACCTGATACTAACATTTAACAATGTTTACTTCTGGGCTTGTTCCCAAATGTGATTCATATACTTTCTCAAGTGTGGTTTGTAGCTTGCTCTTGTGTTTTATATGAGGAGCATGTTTCTCTGTTGTTCAATTATTTATAAACACTTTTAGTGACTGCATGATATTCCCTTTTGTTGATGTACCATATTTCACTGAATATTTCCCCACCAGTGAGCTTTTTAGCATCTCCAGCACTATGTGCAAAACAGCCGTAAACATTCCCAGACATATATCTCTGTGTTCTCTGTAGTTCCACAACATAAATCTAAAAAGGGAAATTGCTGCATCTGAGAGAAGGAACATTTTTAAAGTTCTTGTTACATTAGGTTCCTTTCCACCAAGCAGAGCTAGAGGGTGTAGTTTCTCTCCATGCACTGAGACCAGTCTTTCAGAAATCCTTGGTGTTTAGAAAGTGATAAATAATATACAATTTTTCCCTTAAATTATTCATATTATTCTTCTTTTAAAAGGAAAGTTAGAAGCAGAGACATCTGTTGACTCCATTTCTAAACAAAAGACATTAAAATATCACACATATGGATATGTGTTTCCATGTGTGTATATACTTATATGGGCTTCCCAGGTGGCTCAGTGGTAAAGGGTCTGTCTGCCAATGCATGAGATGCAGGAGAGATCCCTGGGTGGGGAAGATCCCCTGGAGGAGGAAATGGCAACCCACTCCAGTATTCCTGCCTGGAAGATCCCATAGACAGAGGAGCCTGGCCAAGTACAGTCCATGGAGCCACAAAGAGTCTATGGGGTCACAAAGGACATGACTGAGAGACTGATCATGCACACACACACACACACACACATCTATATGTCTGGAGAAAAATGTGGAAACATCAGAGTTGCCAATGTTTGTTTTCAGGTAGAATTAGGTTTGATTATAAGTAATAGAAACTGCCAAAAAAAAAGTGACTCAAATGTGATAGAAACTCATTTTCCCCCAAATGTAAAAGGATTCCAGAGGTAGACATTCCAGTGTAGAAGCTAGAATCACCAGGGACAGAGTCACCAAGAACAGAGGCTCCTTCTGAGTCACCATTCCACTGCCCCATTCTACCCCATTCTACTGATGGTCTGAGATGATTGCTGGACCCCCTCCAACCAGCCATCTCGTCAATGTGCAAGGCAAAAGCGGGGAGAGAGGAAAGAGGAGGGAAAGGCTAGTTTTTAAAATAGAGCTCTGAGAATTCTCCCAGACCTGACGATTCCACTTAATCTCATTGGCCAGATTTCAGAAATGACCACATGTAGCTGCAAGGGAAGCTGTAAAATTTATCCCAGCTGGGAAGCAAGGCACCAGATAACATTTAGGGTTTGTTAAACTAAGATGAAGAATAACAATGAATATACAATGAACAAAGTTAGTGGAGGTGATGGAGTTCCAGCTGAGCTATTTAAGATCCCTAAAAGATGATGCTGTTAAAGTGCTGCACTCAACATGTCAGCAAATTTGGAAAACTCAGCAGTGTCTACAGGACGGGAAAAGGTCAGTTTTCATTCCAATCCCAAAGAAAGGCAATGCCAAAGAATGTTCAAATTACCATACAGTTGTGCTCATTTCACATGCTAGTAAGGTAATGCTCAAAACCCTTCAAGCTAGGCTTCAGCAGTATGTGAACTAAGAACTTCCAGATGTACAAGCTGGATTTAGAAAAGGCAGAGGAAGCAGAGATAAAATTGCCAACATCCATTGGATCAGAAAGCAAGCAAGGGAATTCCAGAAAAATATTTACTTCTGCTTCATTGACTACACTAAAGCCTTTGACTGTGTGGGTCACAACAAACTGTGGAAAGTTCTTAAAAAGATGGGAATACCAGGCCACCTTACCTGTCTCCTGAGAAACCTGTTTGTGGGTCAAGAAGCAATGTTAGAACCAGACATGGAACAACACANACCACAAAGAAGGCTGAGCATGAAAGAATTAATGCTTTCAAACTGTGGTGTTGGAGAAGACTCTTGAGTCCCTTGGACAACAAGGAGATCCAAGCAGTCCATCCTAAAGGAGATCAGTCCTGGGTGTTCATTGGAAGGACTGATGCTGAAGCTGAAACTCCGATACTTTGGCCACCTGATGTGAAGAGCTGACATTTGAAAAGACCCCGATTCTGGGAAAGATTGAGTGCAGGAGAAGAAGGGGTGACAGAGGATGAGGTTGTTGGATGGCATCACTGACTCAGTCGACATGAGTCTGAGCAAATTCCAGGACATAGTGGAGGATAGGGAAGCCTGGTGACTGCGGTCCATGGGGTTGCAAGGAGTTGGACACAAATAAGCGACTGAACAACAGCAAGAGTTCCTACAATAGTTGCCTTGAAGAATGAAGTGAGATTGTCACGGAAAGGAGGGATGGAGCGGTAAACAGGTAGAGATGGTATATATATTTGCATTATTCCATTAGTTGTGGTGAAAATGTTTTAAAGAAGTACTTTTGGGAAGCTTAAAAACATTTTAGTAAGAATGATAGGGGAAATTTCTTCATAGATTTTTACATAAAATTTAAGGAACAGCTGAAGGAACCAACATCTTCACCAAATTCTTTCAGCTGTTTGCATATTGTAACTCACTGCCTTCTGGCCTCCAAGGTTTCTGATAATAAATCTGCCTATAATCTTACTGATGATCCTTGTATGTGATGAGTGACTTGTCTCTTGCCGCTTTTAAGATTCTTTCTTTGTGTTTCACAGTTTGATTATAATGTGTCTTGGTGTGGAACTCTTAGTGTTTATGCTGCTTGGAGCTCACCAAGCTTTTAAAGATCTTTATAGTTAATGTCTTTCATCAGTTTTAAGAAAGTTTTGGGCTTTCAAATAATTTCTCTGCCCCTTTCTCTCTCTCTTCTTCTTCTGGGACTTCCATAGTTCATATGTTGGCTCATTTGATGATGGCCCACAGGTCTCTTAGATGGTGTCCACTTTTCTTCAATTTTTTTTCTTTCTCTCCCTCAGGTTTTATCATTTCAATTGTCCTATCTTCAAAGTTCTCTGATTCTTTCTTCTATTTGCTCACATCTGTTTTTGAATCTCTCTAGTGGATTCTCCATTTCAATTATCAGTCCTTTTAGCTTCAGAATTCCATTTTGGTTCCATTTATGTGTTCTATTTTTTGGTACAGGGACACCTTAGAGATACTGTGGGTTCAGTTCCAGACCACCACAATAAATCAAACAATAAAGTGAGTCACACAGATTTCTTTGGTTTCTCAGTGTAAATAAAATTTACTTTCACACTATACTGTAATCTATTAAGTGTGCAGTAGCATTATGTCTTACGAAATATATATACCTTAACTAAAAAGTACTTTATT